TTCAGTTCATCAAAACCCAAAGCCATGCTCAAGAACAAGAAAGTCCATATCTATGTACCTATCAACTAATTGAATGCAGACAAGTAGTTTCTAACCATAAAAATTGATTCATTTCCCATCATTCAAAGAAATAAAATGTTTTTTAGTTTGTCACCACATTTAATGTTTGCCTTCAAATTAATCATCAATTTGTTTCTTAGTTCGTATTCAGTTCATCAAAACCCAAAGCCATGCTCAAGAACAAGAAAGTCCATAACTATGTACCTATCAACTAATTGAATGCAGACAAGGAGTTTCTAACCATAAAAATTGATTCATTTCCCATCATTCAAAGAAATAAAATGTTTATCGACTATACTAATTTCTTATTATGCAAACTGTGCCCTTCAATCATGATAAATTTGCATGGAAAAATTTATAACGTAGTCAAACAGACCACGAAATTGCTACTAATATTCTTAAAATTTATAACACGAGGTTGATCAAGCATGGTAATTTTTGCAAACTGTGCCCTTCATTCATGATAATCGATCTTCATCAATTACTAATTTGTTTTTACGCAAAGACCAAAATGAAATTGCTACTAATATTCATGTTAGCATGAACTCAGATCAATAGTTGAGGCAAGCAACCAGAGCATATATATTAAGCTGCACAAAATTAATGCACAAAATCGGAGCTCAAACAGATCACAGCTCAACCAGACCAACCAAATCCACATGTCAGAGCTCGAAATCGGAGAAAAAACAGTGCTCAAATCGGAGGAAGAGCCGAAGATCTCAAAAATATAAGGCGTTTAGGGGGGGTTAGTCACCTAGAACTTTTTAAGTAGAACTGGGATAATTGGTAAAGTAGGATAATATTTTGACACTGGGATAATTTAGTGAAACAATGATGGATAATTCTTAAAGTGGGATAATTTGGTAGGATAATTTGGTGGGATAATGATGGATAATATTATGATGTTGCATAATTTGGTAGGATAATTTAGTAGGGGTAATGGTGGGTATAAATTACTATTGTTAATAATTATATATTAAAAATAATATAATATTGATAAGCAAATTCTAGTAATAACTATAAAATATAATGCAATAAAATACATCCATGGCCGCTAAATAGATGATCGACAGATGAACTATAAATATCCCAATCAATTTACTGAGCCGATTTAATAATAATAGATATCACCATTAACCATTCAACATCTAATCATCAATTAATGTGATCGCAAAGTTGCTTTCTAACTTATAAAAAAAGCATAAATAGCCTGCATATCTTTAGCACTAACCCACCAACACTATATTCTTAACCTAAACCACTGTTGTGGAGAGAAAACTTAGATCAAACAAATAATAATAAAGTAATTTAACGTCAAAAAGCTATCGATAAAGTAATACATCTTGAAGATAATAATAAAAGATCTAATCATCACAAAAACAAAGTAAAGACAGAAAAATGAACGGATGACTTCATGGCAGAGAAATTTTCTAGGCGGAGAAACTAACCAAGAGGGAGGGAGGCGGCGTTTCACTTTTTTTCCCAATTGTATTCTTTCCAATGTGTGGGATAATTTAAGAGAGGAGAACTTATGGTTATATATATAGGTAGTATAATTTGTGGGATAATTATGACCAATTATCCCAATTCTAATTCTAGTAAAATTCTACTTGACTAACGCACCAAAAAAATAATACAGTTCTAGTTCTACAAAAGTTCTACTTGACTAACACTATAAAAAAATATCATATTTCCTAGTTCTATGTGACTAACACCTTAAAAATTTATCCCACAAATTATCTCAGTTCCAGTTTTAAGTTCTAGATGACTAACCCCCCCCTTAGGGTTTTTTTACCTGAGTAGCGCCCTATTTTCTCAAGAACAGCGATCGTCAGTCCAAATCCCCAAATCAACCGCAAGATCAAGAATAGCGACATTTCAAAATGCCAAATCAACCGCAAGCTCTCAAGAACAGCGATATCCTTTCAAATCCCTAAATCAACCGCAAGATCTCAAGAACAACAATCTCAAGATCGCAAGAGGTCAAAACGGAGGAAGATCGAGAGCTGGAGGAGCAAAAAGACGTGCGAAGAGCAGGTGGCGGGAGAAGATGGAGGGAAGGAACGGCGCGGTGATAAAAAACCTAGGGTGAACGAGCTTTGATCACTTTCGACCAAAATCGGGGTTTTTGGAACGGAAAGGAACTTTCAGCAAATCGCCACTTTCAGCCCCCTTTTCTTTCGCCGCTCAAAACGAACCAAACATCCTTAAATGAAAAAAACTGACAGACGAATCGTAAATGAAAAAAACTGACAGATTTTTCGTCGTCGGTTTTCAAAATGGGCTTTTACGTCACTTTCAGCTCAAATTTGAGCGAAACAAACAGGCCCTTAATGGCCATTTTTTTATGATCAAGAAAAACTTACAAATATGTAACAAGTAGGTGTCCATTCAATTGGATACGGCTCGGATATGATGCTTACCATATGCATATCCATTTACCTATCTCGAATACAGATACGCATACAAATATACATCCGTTAAAATTGGATACGGTTACGAATATATATGCGGATATATGAGCGGATATATATGCTGATATAAAATAGATATGAGAAAATTAGATAGTATGAAAAAAACATATTTTATGTGATACAAAAGAGTTCGTTAATATGTTCATTGTAATTGAAAAGTTAAGATTATATATCTTAATCATGAAAATTAATCATAAATCCATAATCTAATATTTGAAATATTGTAAGAGTGACTAATATGTATTTGGATCTTCGAATACTGATAAAGATATTTCATTATAAAACCATTTTCACAATCATATATCCTATCAGTTATAAATTTGAGTAATCATATTCGTATCCTAACGGATACAGTTTTGAATATTTTTCGGATACGGATACAGTTTAGCACCCCTAGTAACAAGTCAACCGATTCTATAGTCTTCGGTATTGTTATGCATGATAAGGGAAAAGCTTGGTATGCAAGGGGGTTGCGGGCAATGACTCCAATTGTTGAGGAAATTTTGACGAACTCTCTCCAGGACGAAAGATTTTTCGATGTGTATAGTTGAAAAACTTTGACGAACTCCGATAGTTGAGGGGTATTCTCCTCTTTAAGCAAGAAAGTTTTTCGATGGTATAGTTGAAATTCTTTTGATTGTTTATTTTAATAAATTTGAGGTCAATTTTAACGATCATAGATAATCTCTTGGACATTTGCATCAAGAACAGAAATTTTGTTTAAAGGTTTTAACAATATTTTAGAAGTGGCACTTCCCCCTTCTTTTCTAATTTCTACAAAATAAACATGTTTGTGATTGTTACAATTAAATTTGATGATCACGTCAAGAAATTAATGTTCATTTGACTAGAAATAAGAAATAAGGGGTAGAGTTTCATTTATAAGGCATAATCGCACTTAAATACTCTCTAGTTTCACTTACTCCGCACATATATACCAGGGTACTTGGTTACATTTAAAAACCTTAAAAGTTTTAAAAAGTTTCACCTTAGTATCCTTAGCTATGCAAACATGAGAACTTTTTCCCCTCACATGCTAATTTTTAAATGTTTTAACTCTTACTATTTGATAAATATACTATAAATTTAATCAGGATAGGTTTAAAAAGAGTTTTGATAGGTTTAATAGTAGATTTTAACGAAAATAAGGATGGAAATATTAAAAATAGCATGTGAGTGTCACATGAAACTTTTTAGGTGGAAATTTTCACATTTGCACTGCGAAGGATACTAAAGCGTAGCTTTTAAACTTTTAAGGAATTTTAAGTGAAATTGGATATAACTAGGGGATACACGTGCAAAGTAGATGGAACTATAGAGTATTTAATTGCAAGACAAAATAACTAACCCATTATTAAGGGCGTGTTTGGATGTCACTAGCGAAGGGAAGCTAAGTGAACATAGAATAAATTATTAATTGCAAGACAAAATAACTAACTCATCATTAAGGCCCAATTTGGATTTTGCCACTAGTGAAAGGAAGCTAAGAAAACATAGAATAAGTTAAAAGAAAATTAATATAACATACAAAACTTGTTTGAGAAATTAGTAAGAACTTATTTCACCCTGTTCAGGACGTCTAATAAAGTAAAGTAAATATAACTAAATATATATAAATTTACATAAATAACATTACATGTGTAGCACTATCTTTTTATAGAAGGGTATAATTGTATTTGTGTATTAATTAGCTTACCTTAACTCGTATCAAAATTGAGTTCCCAAATAAGTTTAATGAGTCCACTACACTCCCTTTACCTCCTATTAACCTCTATCCAAAAAGCTCTACAAGTATTAGTGAACTCTCAAGTTTTCCCCTAAAGTATCAATTTGCCTATTTGTTTTCTTCACTATATTTATGGTTTTAATATGATCATTTTGTGAATTGGTAGTCAAATATTTAATAGACTAATATCTTGACAGTCTTTTTTTAATGTTTTTATGGATTTTTATCTATCTATCTCCTTTTTACCGAACTATTAAAAAAAATTATGTCCGCTTCCTCCCAAAATTTTAAAACTTTTAACATCTTTTTTGAATTTAGAAAATTATTTTTAAATCGGAAAAATGTAAGAAATGCAAAAAAAAAATATCACATTAGTAATCTATTTACCATCTATTTAATATTTGATTGTAGACTAATAAAATAATTGTACAAATCTGTTAAATATTCTGCCGGTCGTGCAAACCTGGGGAAGTTTATGTAATTTAATATACTCATTTTTTTTATGAAGAACATTTGAAAATTTAGTAAATGTTGTGAAAAGCTAAATCTTCTCTGAGAGAGAGAGAGAGAGAGGAGTAGAACTTTTTAGTCTTTTTTTTTTCCTTTCCTTTTTAATTTGAAAATCACTGGTTGATGACGATAGGCTAAGAATGGGAATTATTTACTCTTTAATTGGGTTTCTCTATAAAAAAGGAGAATCCTTTATTTTGTCCTCCATTTCATAAAAATGGAGGCCACAATTGATTGCAATCTCTCTTCTCTCAAGACCATTTGCATCCTAAATTATGAGATATTACAAAGAAATTAGAATTTTTATATTACAAATAAATTAGAATTTTTTTTTGTTTGCTAATTATTTAGCCCCTTTTGTCATTTGAATTTTTTGTGGGTTTCTCCATATCCAATCTATTCCCCTGCCCATCATTTGTTAAATTCTTGGATTATTTTTCTTTCAGTTTTCTTCGTTTTAGTTTCTAATGTCCGTCGTCTTCCTCGTTGAATTCCTCAAAAAATTAAATTTTGTTGAGGAAATTTAAGAAATTAGCGGCTTTTTGGTGCTAATTATTTGTATCTCTATTCCTATTTGTGTTTTGATTCTGGGGTTCTCCTGTCCAATCTATGTCCCTTCATAAAGTATAATCCTCGTTGAATTCCTCAAAATTTTAAAATTTTGTTCAAGAACTTTGTCCTTCACCTTCTTCCTTTTACAGTTTAACCCCCTCTAAAAAAAAATCACAAATTGCCTTTGCCCCCCCATCAAATAGTTCATCTCAATGCAGCTTTTGATTAATGTCATCGAGGCCTGTGGCCTTCAAGCTCTTGATCCTGAGCAATTATGCAGTCCTCATGTGAAATTGCGCCTCGGCAGACATAAGTTAAAAACTCAGGTTATAAAGAAAACCCTGAATCCGAAATGGGATGAGGAGTTCAATTTCTGGGTGGGAGATCTTCAACCTAAAGAGAAGCTCATTGTGTCTGTGATGGATGTCAATAATGGCAAGTTTCTGGGAGAATTGGAGATTCCGTTGTCGAAAGTCTTGGAAACCGATAATTTGTCCCTTGGAACTTCTTGGTATGAGCTGAAGCCGAAGAGGAAGCCATCAAAGAATAGAGTACGTGGTAATTGGTCTACCTTATTGATTTTTGTTACATTTGATGCGCAGTTTTTTGTTAAACCTCTATGTTTAATCTAATGCGCACGTTATCTTTATATTGGAGTGTTAGGATGATAATTTACTTAGCTAGTCGGAATTAGATACTCGTATGCGTGTGTTATGTTACATGTAAATGCTGCAATCAAATTTCTGTTTCCACTATTTGGTTAGCAACATGATACTTGTGAAATGTATTGTGTGCCCATTTTGCAAAAGGAAATTGGAATGGTGCAATTCCATGATATAGAATAAGAAATCGAAAACTAATGCGATGTTGTTAAGCTAGTGCTGTCCAACTCACAAATTGTAAGTGATTTTACAATTTCATATAAACGAACACTTGATTTGAGATGAGAATACATTTCTTGGAACAAAAAGGTTCGAAATCTAACAACTTTTACAGCTAAACAAACACTACTAGGATTTAGCTGGTGTAGTGGATGGTCTTCCTACAACAAAGTGCAGATTTTGAAATGACAGATCTAGAGATAATTTTTCTGCAAAAAAAAAATGTTGTGTGCAACATCTTTTTATACAATATTTGTTGCATTCAAAATTTCAGCATATTAAACAAGCCTGTGTAAACTTGTTTATAGAGTGGATTTAGATAAACTGTTTTGTGCTTACATTTGTGTGGTTTAGTTATTTTATGTACTTGGCTTACTTTAATCTAAAAGCTAATACTTTTAAAAGTTTGGTTGTTATCAAATTTTAATGATGTAGTATAAATATTGAGACCAAACCATTTGAACTCTAGACGTATCTGGTATGAAGTTTGAAATTGTCCAATCTAGTATTTTGACATATGAAGTTGAGATGTGGCTTCTGCTTGTTCAACTTTCCAGCAAAGTTTTACACTTTGTGGTAGCTGCATGTGGTTCAATTATATGAGTTTAGAGACAACCACATGGTATTAATATGGAAGATTCTACTAAAGCTTAGAATGATTTTTACATTGACCTCATCAGGTCGCACAACTCTAAAGTTTTCATTTTCTTGAAAACATCCAAAGTTCTATCAAGCCTGACGTCCTTAAAGCATATAGAGCTTCTACATTGTTCGATCACGACTCTAAGTTCTTATTCTCATGTATATTTTATATATTCTTATAAGTTTATAATAATAACCCCTCATTCAGTCAACATGACATAAGTTCATATTCTCTATACCTTTTTATTTACTGCCTCGTATTCTCTATACTCCTTATTCGTATATGATTCTTTATAAGCTTTAGATCCTACCTCGCAAGCCTCGTCTCTTATTTATCTTTTATTGAGTTTTATGTTTTGAAGTTCTTATCAGCTCTGTAGTTTTTACAGTCCTTATAAGGTGTGCCTTTGTTGCTTTTATTACCTTTTACATTTTCTTATTCCATCACCAATCCCATCAATCATAATATATCTTGTTTTAAATTCTTCAATATTCTCTGTGATATATAGCCAACATGATATTGAAAGTATTATCATATAACAGTAATTTTGACAATAACCACAACATACAGAATTGTATTATTCATGCCTATTATGTTCCTCAAAACTTTATGAAGAAATTTGAGTAGGTAACATGTAGGTTTTCTCATTTCTCCAAAATTAATTGCACCTTTCCATTTGATCTCATTTTCTTATATATGGCCTTCTTTGGCAGGAGAAATTTGTCTAAGCATATCTTTGTTACATGGTAATTCTTCTCAAACAATAGCAAGTTGTTCTAGTACCTCTGCAGATGAGCTTACATTAAATTTGGATAAATCTTCTGAACGTATGGAAGGAACTTTTTCCTCATTCTCCACTATCAGTGAACAGTCATCTACATTCTCGGACGTTGAAGGTAATAAACCTGATAATGAAGAAAAGCCAACTCCAGCTGTCGGCCATGTACACCAAATTTTAATTGGAACTAGGCCTTCACCGGCTACTATTGATGACATTGAAACATCAAAAGAATTAATTGACAACACATTAGCAAATACTAAATCTTGTGAGAAGCAAAGTAATAGCGAATGCTCAAATGTGTCATTTGATGAATTGGTAAAAGTCATGGAATCAAAAGGGCAAGGAGGTGAAATGCCTAAGAACTTACCCGGTGGAGTGCTTGTTGACAAATGCTATGCAATTTCACCAGGGCAAATGAACTCTCTTCTCTTTTCACCCACTTCAGAGTTTTGTCAAAAACTTCCAGAGCTCCAGGGGACTACCGATGTGCAAATTGAGGCTTGGGGACATGAAGTTAAAGGAGAAAATTTGAGAAGAGTGATTACCTACGTAAAGGCTGCAACAAAAATGGTTAAGGCAATGAAAGCTACAGATGAGCAGATATATTTGAAAGCTGATGGAAAATCATATGCAGTTTTAGCCAGCGTGAGCACTCCTGATGCTCCTTTTGGTAGCTATTTTAAGACAGAGATCCTCTACTGTATGACACCGGGACCTGAATTGCCGTCAGAAGATCCATCATGTCATCTGATAATTTCCTGGCGCATGAATTTTCTTCAAAGTACAATGATGAAGAGTATGATTGAAAATGGAGCAAAGCAAGGCCTTACAGAAAGTTTCACATTGATCACTGACAAGCTCTCGCAATATGCTAAACCAGTTGACTTGGAAAGCACTGGTTCCAACAAAGAGCAAATATTAGCTTCATTGCAGACTGAGGAGGAGTCACCTTGGAAGCTGTCATTTCAAACATTTGGAGATGTCAGTTTCGTTTTCTTTACTATCATAGTACTGTATATTCTTATACACATCATTGTAGCCAAAACTAGTCCGGGGCTTGAGTTTTTTGGCCTAGATTTGCCTGACTCATTTGGGGAAATTGTGGTGTGCGGCCTTTTAATTTTCCAAGGACAACATGTTTGGAACAAAATAGGACGCTTCTTCCATGCCAGGAAGCAAGGAGGTAAAATATTTGCTTGCAAAATTGCCTTGCTACTTGTGTACATTATAGCTTCGGTTTTAAAGTTACAGTCTATTTGGAATTACTGAGACAAATTTCCTTTCTACTTCATGCCCATATGATGAAGAATGCATTGGTTATAGCGTAACTTTCCTACATCACAATATTAGTTTTAAGAATGAAATGTCTATAATGCATTTTGCAGCTTTCTGGATCCCAGTTATTTAACATCCATTGACAGAAGCAATACACTTTTGATTCAAATGTAAAATTTATTTGTTTTTAATTAGTTCAGGTCTATTTATGCTTTCCATTAAAGTGATATTTTATGAATACTAGTTCCAAGCTCTGTTGTTGCATGTGATATGTTTCCTTTCTCAATGAATCAGATTAACTTGATCCATACAACATTCATAAACATTTTGGATTTACACTGGTTAGGTTTGGAATAGGGTATTAGATCCATTTCTGATTTGAAAACATAGTCGGTTAGAAGCGTAGTAGCATGGACATGAACAAGGACATGGGATAGGAAAATCTTCAAAAAAATAAGACGTGTCAACACGTCAAAAGTGAAATTAGAATAAACACCTGCACATAAAATACACGAACACACACAATCATATATTATAATAACAATTATGACAATAAAGAGAGTTTATAAACATGCATGTATACACATGTTCAGGCATTCAAGTCTCTAAATTATTGTTTAAAATAATATAATACATAAAATGGTACATGTATGCCAATTCTTAGACCTATGTTACATTTTTTATGACTTCTAAAAAATGTTTGACATATTTAAACTTTAAAGTTAATTCTGTACGAGTCAATATTTTCTAGCATTTTCCACTATAGTCCTTGGTGTGTAAATGAAAATAAGCAGATATACACATGTTATATACACACTCATATTATAATAACAATTATGATAATAAAGAGAGAGTTCATATACATGCACATATACACATGCTCAGGCATTCAAGAGTCTATATTATTATTCATAATAATACAAAACATATTGTTAAATTGGTATTCAAGAGAACTCTTATATTTGATGATCATATTTAGAAGTTATATATACACAATTAGGAGCTCACATACACAATCAGTAGTAGGCATACTAGGAGGCGGCTGAGGCGGGTTAGGAGCCGGCTGAGGTGGCTATACACATATAAGGTGGTTGGTATTATCTAACACCCCCTTCAAACTCACGGTGGATCGAACACCGAGAGTTTGGATAAGAAATAGCGAAACGCAGAAATAGTTTGAGCCTTGGTAAATAAATCTGCCACTTGTTCCTTAGAAGGAACATATGGGAGTATAATGTTTCCAGCAACATGCTCCTGTCGAACCACATGACAATCCATCTCAATATGTTTGGTACGCTCATGAAATGTCGGATTTGTAGAAATGAAGATGATACTCTGATTATCACAGTATAAAGTGAAAGAGAAAGTAACAAAGATATCGAGATCTCGTAGAAGAGTGCGGAGCCATTTGAGCTCAATTGTGGTGTCTGCCAACGCCTTGTACTCAGACTCTGTACTAGAACAAGAGACAACGGCTTGACGCTTACTACGCCAAGAGATGAGAGATGAACCCAGAATAATACAAAAGCCAGTAGTGGAACGTCAAGTGTCTGCATCATCAGCCCATCTAGCATCAGAATATTGACGAAGAGACAAAGAAGAGTCTGAGGGGAAAAATAATGATTAAGTTATACTACCACGGAGATATCGAAGAACCCAAATGAGAACTGCATAGTGAATGGAAGTCAGACTACTGACAAACTGGCTCAAGATGTGTACTGCATAGGTGATATCCGAACATGTTGCTGAAAGATAAATCAATGCTCCGACAAGTTCTTGATAACGAGTAGGCTGAGGTAAGGGATCGTCATTATCATGTCGAAGCTTCAAGTTCATTTCCATCAGTTTGAAGAGAGGAGTGGTAGCAATGGAAGGATCACTAAGAGTAGCACATTCAAGAATATCTGCAGTGTACTTCTACTGAGAGAGAAGATAGCCACGAGAGGAGGAAGCAACCTCAATACCCAAGAAGTAAAGAAGAGATTCAAGATCCTTTATCCCAAGAAGTAACGAAGGGATTCAAGAAGTAACGAGAGGAGGAGTCTTGACCTTATAAATCCATTTGCAGCTTACCGGTTTAACACCGAAAGGCAGAGGAACAAGGTCTCAAGTATTAGTTCGACGAAAAGCCTCCAACTCTTTTTTCATTACTTGTTGCCATTCTGGATACTTAACTGTCTCAGAATATGAGTTAAGTTCATGTATAGAGTGAATAACATCAAGAAAATAGATAAACTCAGGAGAATATGTGCTAGTGACACATTGAGCATACAGAGCAGGGAGATGACGATCTCGTGGAGGATTTCGACGAGGGGGAGGAGTCACATCAGGAGAAGCTGACACATATGTAGAGGGGACATCAGTAGGAGTATCTTGTTGCAAAAGGGATGTAGTCGGCGGATGTTCAGGAGGTGTGCATGAATCAAGAACACTATCGTTTGATGCCACTGGAGTGAAGGAGGGAGTCGGTTGAGCGGACGAAGGTACAAGTGCCATTGATACATGTATAGTAGTGAAAGGTAATGAAAGGGGTTGAAGAAAGGAGAGATCTGAATCTGAAATAGTATAATAGGAAATATTCTCAAAGAAGGTCACATGATGGGCATACAAAACCTTCGAGTAGTAGGTTAATAACAACGATACCCCTTATGAACGGTGTTATAGCCAAGAAAGATACATCGTGTAGTGCGTGGAGATAGTTTATCTCGTTCATGAGTTGGAAGCAGCGCAAAACAGACATATCCAAAAGTGCGAAGAAGAGAGTAGCGAAACTGAGACTTGAAAAGTTGAAAATATGGAGAGGTGTCAACTAATGCAGAAGATGGAGTAATATTGATAAGATAAACAGCAGCCAGAAGTGCTTCTGCCCAGTGATATCGAGCTACATATGCTGATAGCAGAAGAACTCTAGTGGTGTCGAGAATGTGATGATGTTTTCTCTTAGCAACATCATTTTGTTTATGAGTGTGTGGACAAGACTGCTGAGAGAGTGCCATGTGATTTTAAAATAGATTACATTGCCGAAGAGATATATTCACAGGCACCATCAGAGCGAAATATCTTTATACGTTTATGAAACTAGGTGTGAATCATATTTGTAAAGTCTTTATAAATATTTAAAATATCAGAACGAGCACGCATGAGATATACCTAGGTGTAGCGAGAATAGTAATTAATAAAACTGACATAATATCGATAACCGAACAATGATGGTAATAGGGCACGTCCCCAGATATTAGAATGAATCCAATTAAATGGGGTTAAAGCAATTTTGTTACTGGATGAAAATGATAGAGCAATTTGTTTAACTAATCGACACACAGTACAGTTTGATAAAATAGAGAATTTTAAATTTTCTAATACACCTGATTCAGATAAAAGTTTTAAGCGAGAACCAGAGATATGACCCAAGCGACGGTACCACAGATCAGAAATAAAGAGCCCATGACCAATATTGGATGGAGTGAAAAGATGTAGATACTCTAACTGATAAAGTTCATTAACTCTACGACCTGTCCTAATTTTCTGACCAGTGTGATTCTGGACAACACAAGATTTAACATTAAATAAGATAGTACATCCAGAATCTATAATTTTCCCAATAGATAAAAGTTGCATAGATAATTTGGGAATATGAAGAACAGATGATAATGTTAGACGAGTAGAACTATCAGAATTTGGAGTAATATCACCTAATTGAGAGACCTAATTGAGAGACTGCAAGGGGAGTGTCATCAGCAGTATAAATACATAATATAAAGGGAGCGGGTAAACAATTTGTAAGAACAGGGTTATGAAAGGTCATATGATGATATGCACTTGAATCGAATATCCAAGGAGTAGAAGTACTAGAATGAGTAGACAAGACAGTAAAATCTGAGCTGGAGGCAGCTCCATTTAGCCTAAGATTCTTGGTTATTAATACAGTAATTTCTGACAATTGCTCAGAAAAGAGAGGGCTAGAAGTCTGCGGCCCTTGAGGAGTAGGGCTAACATCAGCCGAAACAGCAAATAGAGGTCGAGTCTTCTCGAGTGTCGGATGAGGCGGTCTTTTACGATATTTATTAATAAGATGACCCAGCTTCTTACAATAACGATAGTAGAGTTGCCGAGAGGAATCAATGTACTGTTAGAAGGACCCTGATAAAAAGAGAACTGCTAAGGAGTAGCTAGAACAGTATGTGATGAGAGTAATGACTGAGATGCAATAACTAGAGGGGAGAACATCTGAAGGCGCGTCTCTTCAGACATGAACTCAGCCACGGCTTCACGGAGACTGGGGAGAGGACTGCGATGAAGAATGTGTCTACGTAAGCTTTCGAACTCAGAGTGAAGGTGCATGACAAAGTGATATAACTGTTGACGATCACATTGTTTTTTGAAATGCTATGACAAAGTTTGGAAGCGTCTTAGGAATAAGTTCCTCCATCATCTGTAATTCATCCCAATAGCCTGATAATAAGAAATAGAAATCTTGAATAGACTGATCACCCTGACGTGCATTTTAAAGAGCTTGGTGAATTGATACTCACGAGCAGCACAAGTCTGAACAAACATGCGACTGAGAGCTAGCCACTGCTCACGAGATGAAGATGTTCGTCCAAGAGAGAGCCGAATAGGAATGGCTACAGAACGCACAATATATGCCTTGATCTGTTGATCAGTAGCCACTGAGAATAAGTGATCTGAGAATCATCAGTAGTGGAATAACAGAAGTGACTTCTGATATGGAGGATGTAGATAACGAATGCACAATAACAGTTTTGGATAGAAAACGAAGAGATCCTTCAAATAAGTGTCAAAGCTCAAAGATTATATTACATTGTAAGAGACCATGCAGTGTAATTTTCAATATTTGTATGTTGCACATTAAGGGGTGAAAAGGTGTAGAGTCATTTCTTATCCATGGGCCTGTTTTTTTTGTTAGATAAAAGATGGGCCTGAAATAAAAGAGAGATGAAACCCTAGAACAGAACCAAACCAAAGAAGAGGGGGAATCTGAACCCCAGATCCCCCAACTCTACAAATAATCCCCCAAATATCAAAACCCTAGAAAAATCCCGTCCGATGGCGCCAAAGGTCGAGAAGAAGCCTGCGGAGAAGAAACCGGTGGCAGAGAAGCCAGACGAGGAGCTAAAGGCGGAGAAAACCCCTGTTGGCAAGAAGCCGAAGGCGGAGAAGAGGCTGTCGTCGAAAGAAGAGGGGGAGAGTTCGACGCGAGATCTCAGGCTTGAGAGATCGACACTCAAGCGAGGTTGGGATGTCGGTCAGGAGTTCGACATGAGATCAAGGTTGAGCTCAGAGGCTGCCTGGAGATGATGATGACGATGGCTGAATAAGTAGTGTTGATCAGATTCGAGTGAACAACGATCAGAGGCGGCGACAGCGACAGGTAAGACCTCTGGCTATGAGTGTTTCTGTGGTTAGATTTGATTTGACGATGTAGGATTGGAATTGATTTAGGGATTGAAGCTAGGGATTGAATCTAGAGCTCTGATACCATGTTAAATTGGTATTCAAGAGAACTCTTATATTTGATGATCAAATTTATAGGTTATATATACACAATTAGTAGCCCACATATACAATCAGTAGTAGGCACACTAGGAGGCGGTTGAGGCTGGTTAGGAGGCAGCGGAGGCGGCTATACACATATAGGGTGGCTGGTATTATCTAACACATATAACCATATGTTTATGTCTATTTTGTGCCTAAAATTCATTTTTGTTATGACTTGGAAAAGGAACGTGAAATTGCTTTTCAGTTTTACAAAAAATAATGGTAGAGATACCTAAATGTAATTCTGTATGAGTCCATATCTTGTAGCATTTTCCACTATCATCATTGATTTACAAACCAAAATAAACAAAATATATCAAATATGTGATATTAATAAAGAAGTTATGCGAAGTGTAAGATATATATCCGAGAAGTGTATGATGGCTTTTTAAATTAACATATATGTTATATAATTGAGGACACAATTGCATAATTGTATGCCCATATCTAAGGAGTGTCCAAAGAAGTATCGTTGTCCCAGCATGGATGTTGGAATGTCACATGGCTTCATGGCAAAAGTACCCATGCTATGTAAACCAGAAGTTTTCATCTCATTATATGCTCATGAATTAATCTGTTTGCAGCTGATTTGAACGCGACATGTTCATTTCCAAACATCAGGATTAATTCCCGTATCTGATTGAGTAAAACTGACATAATAACTAAGCTTGGCCCTTATTAGTATCAAGTCCGTCTATCCTACATTTTCTACTCAATCAAAACACACCGTCTGCGGATCTGCTTCTTCAAGTATAGATGATTGTGATCTTCTTAAGCATGTGTCAGGTCTATATATTTTCACATTGATGAGCTTCATGGAGTAACATCTACTTCTTGTTCACTATATGTTAACTTACCCTTAATCTGACATGCAATTTACTCAGGATTATAAATGGATGACCTTTTGACCACCAATACATACAGTGGGGGTATCTCTGTTAATAAACCTGGAAAATCCCTTTAACATATGTCGCTCTGTGAATAACCGAAATTGTATATCAAAAGTTTGTAAGAAAAAATATACTTATTCTCTTGGACACGTTGTTGCTTATAGATTATTTCATATAACTGTAGACGTGTTAGTGATATGTTTATAACAGGCAAGGACCATGGAGTCAAAGCACAAGGGGATGGTTGGGTGTTAACTGTAGCCTTGATTGAGGGAAGTAACATACCAACAAGAGGTCAATCAGCGTCCTCTTCTCCATATGTAGTTTTTACCTGCAACGGTAAAACAAAAACCAGCTCAATCAAGTTCCAAACAGCAAATCCTCAGTGGAATGGTGATCTTCTACACAAATTTTTATACTACTTTCATTTGATTTTAGCTTTTAGGATAAAAATAGTTATTTGATTTTCCTATTTAAAGTGCAGAAGTATTTGAATTTGATGCCACATGTGATCCTCCATCGAGGATGGAAGTGACAGTTTATGATTTTGATGGGCCTTTTGATGAAGCAATTCCTCTTGGTTATTCTGAAGTCAACTTTGTGAAATCCAATTTATCAGACCTTGCCAACGTGTGGGTTCCTCTTCAAGGAAAGTGTATACAAGCAAGCAAGTGTGAGTTGCATTTAAGGATATTTTTGGATAACACGCGAGGGAATGAAGTTGTCATAGAGTATCTTACAAAGATGGGAAGAGAAGTGGGGAAGAAGGTAAGAAATTATAGCACCAAACCAACATATGCTTTGTGTTTTATCATGCTGCCCTGGAAATTAGTTACGTGAACTTATCTTTAAAAATTTAATGTCAACTAATTGTAGATAAACCTGCGGTCACCTCAACAAAATGCAGCATTTCAGAAACTATTTGAGCTCCCACCAGAAGAATTTCTCATCAGTGACTATACTTGTTACTTAAAGCGTAAAATGCCTTTGCAGGTAACTTCTTAAACTTTGCTTTTCTTTTGCTGTTTTCTCTGTGGGATGAGAAAATTTGACGACCCTGAAGTCATGAAATAGGCCCATCTTCATTGCCAATATATCATTTCCTGATTTATCTGTTCTCTCGAACCAAACAAATTAAAAGAAATTCATAGTTGGAAACCTATAGCTTATTTACAAATGTGTAAATTTATATAATCATTCATAGTCACCTTGCCATTTTGGTTAATTTACCAAGATGAATTGGTAGTAGTGACATTTTCCTTTCCTCTAAATTTTAATTCAATCTCAGATAATTTTAAACATATTCACATCATTTTTAAGGATCATGACAAATACTGTACCATTGTCTCTTTTTCAGGGTCGCCTCTTTCTATCTCCAAGAATTATTGGTTTTCATGCGAATCTGTTTGGTCACAGGACTAAGTTTTTCTTTCTGTGGGAAGACATAAAAGATATTCAACACATAGCACCGTCTTTTGCATCTGGTTGCAGTCCCTCTCTGATGATCATCCTCTGCAAGGGTAGAGGGGAAGAAGCTAGGCATGGAGCAAAGTCTGTAGATAGGAAAGGCAGATTAAAGTTCCGCTTCCAGACATTTGTTTACTTCAATGGTGCTTATAGGTAATAATTCCTTTTGTTTCGCTCTCTCCTTCCTGTTTTATGATCAAAGGTCATATCTCGGTTTTGAGTTTGATTAAAGTTCCACTGTTTTTGCTTAATAGGACTATCAAGGCTTTATGGAAGGCAAGGTTGTTGAGCCCCGAACAAAAGATGCAAATTGTGGAAGAATCTGATATAGGAAGCCTACAAAATGAAGAAAGTGGGTCTTCCTTAGGGGCAGAAAATGCCAACATGTCAGAAATTTTCTCCTTATCACTTCCTGTATCGGTGAGGTTTTCCTCTGCTCTTCAACCGCTCAACAGTTTGTCTGTCAGACATTTAGGAATTTTAAGATATGCCCACCAAATCATAGCTAATTTACAAAACCTTTTCAGTTGTTTGAAGTTACCTAAAGCGACTCAATATCCTCAAAATGACTTGAAAGTATTGATAAATAACACTAAAAAACCTATGGTATTTCAGCCATTTTGAGATTTATTTGAAATAAATTGAAGTGAGTATATAAACATCCCTAAGCTTTTGGGGGGCTTTACACATAATCCGAACTTTTTCTTGTCTCACAAAATCCCCTGAATTTAAATCTTTTCTCACCGGATCCCCATCTCTATTTGCATATAACTAAAATGTGTTTGAGGGAAAAACCCCAAATTTAGCCATTTGTAATTTACAGGCAACACGCTGCCCTCATCTCACTCGACGTTTTTTTTTCTCTCAATGAAATTTTAGTAATTTGCAAATTACAGGTGGTTAGAGGGTTTGGGGGAGAGTGCCTGTGAGAAAAGTTTAAAGTTCAGGGGGGTTTTGTGACACCCCAAATTTCAGTGGTTATGCGAGATAAAAAAATCAGGGGGTTGTGTGCAAAACCCCCCAAAGTTCATGGGCCTTTTGTGAAATAAACTTTAAATTAAATATTTTTGTGATTTGTATCAAAACACAAACCATAGGACAGAATAATTAAGATTTTAGAGCATCAATGAGAAAAACCCAAACGATTATTTATTTACATGTCTTAATTTTGATTCAATCACCAGGCGAAATCATTGATGGAGATATTCGAAGGAGGCTCTTTGGAACATAAACTAATGAAGAGCATAGGTTTCTTGGACTACTCACCAGCACCGTGGCAAGCCATCGAGGCCCATGTATATCAGCGACAAGTTAGTTATAGACTTGACAAGAGTGTGATTGGTTATAAAGGGGAAGTGAACTCCACGCAACAAAGATCTTGCTCAGCTAACGGAAACAAATGGGTTCTGGAAGATACGGTGAAACTTGATTTCAGCTAATTGGTTATCATTAATTTATTAGAGCCTTGAGAACGCTTCATACGTACATAATGAAGCCCATTTCTATACCCAAGCACAAAAGTCTTGTATTTGATATTTGTCACGACTGAATGATTTTCTAGCAGTATAGTTTAAGGATTTTCAAGGACACATGAGGAAAACCCATGAAATAGTAACGCGCTTCAGTCCCTACTCATTCTCTAAACTATAAATTTGTCTTTGCTTATTCCCGAACTATTTTCAATCCCACTTTGCCTCCAAAACCATAAAATTTGTACCTACTTACCCTCTGAACAATGTTCGGTCCCACCTTATCCCCTAAACTATCAGTCTCCTCTCATAAATCCATTTGAGTACCCACAAAATAGAAAACAAAATGTGGTAACTAGGTACTAAAAGTGACAATTAAGGAAGGATAAAGTGAGACTGAAAATAGTTTGGAGGGTAACATGAGATTGAAGACTTTAATAGTTTATGGGCAAGTAGGATCCGAAGCCTAAATGAAAAGAAGTATCAAAACATCATCCTAATTTACAAACTTCAATATGTACATGAGAAGCTACTACGTTGACTATACGATGGTACCTCCTGGTTTTTCTAGAAGAAGTTTATTTTTATCTAAACAAATTTCTCCCTGAAACAATTTTTCTTCTTCTTTTTTTGTGTGTTTCCTGCAGCTTCAACTGAAACATCAGGTACAAAGTCTCTCCTTGAAACCGACAACATGCAGTGTTCATGTATTCTTAGGTGTTTCTTGGCTGAGGAGCAGCAAACATGAGAAGAAGATAGCCAAGAACGTGATGTCTCAGACCACACTTTGCCTGACTGAGATGTTTCGTGAAGTTGAGAAGGAGCTTGTGCAAGCAAAATAGATAGATAGGGGGCAAGAGAGAGAGAGAGAGAGAGAGAGAGAGAGAGAGAGAGAGAGGATGATATGTGTTTTTAAAAGGATCGGTGGATGATATGTGTTTTTAAAAGGATCGGTAAAATTTCATTAGTCTTTGTTTTGAACAAGTTCAATTACTTGAAGATATAGGACATCACGACTTGTATTTTTCTTGGGAATGTTGTGTATGTACCCGAACTTTGGGCTGTTCATGTTTCTGTTCTAATGCATGCTTTAACGACTCGTTTGTCTTATATGTATGCAGTATGGACGTGCTGCCCTTAAAACGTGTAGATGTTCTAACAAGCTAGGGGTGGAAACGAACCAAATAAGTAACAAATAGTTCGCTAATTGTTCCTCTAACCAGTCTGTTATGTCCGTTTTGGTGGCTCGAATTTTTTGTACTTGGTTCATAAATAAATAGATTTTAATCAGACGTGTGTTCAATTTATTAGCAAATATTCATTTAAAGTTTTATTCCGTATAGTTCGTATTCTTACTTGAAAATGATGTCATATTCTTGCCCCATTTACATTTTGTAGTTTAAGTTCTACACTAACTTTGAATAAAAATATCCTTTTTTTACTTACGTAATTTAACATACATAAGTAAAATTATTAATCAAATAAATACACCATAGTATTCGATCAACCTCGCAAAATACAGAAAGTGATATTTGAATTTGTATTCGGATTTGAAAATTCTAAGCACAAATACTTACACCTTCTGCAGACAAATTTGATCGTGTACTCGTGACGTAACACCTTTAGGTATATATGTTTGGTTTGTTGCAACCGTAAGTACAAATACTTACACCTTCTGTCAACTATAGTTTTCATTGCTTTAATCGGTTTAGTTTTAAAAAGGTTTTGCTAACCATCGCTAATGGCTAAGAAGGAGAGAGAAAAAGTGAGTTGAGGATGAATGTGATCATATGTTTCAGATTAATTATCCCCCCACCCCCACCCCACTCTTTCTCTCTCATTCTTAAGCAAAACCCCCTTAAAAATTTGCAATTTTAACAACAATTGTAGTATAGATCCGTAATTTAAGTTTTTGAAGGGAGAACCAAAGTTACCCATTTTTTAACTTTGATACCCCGAAGGTTTTCTTGCCAAAAAAATACACCAAGGTTCAATAAAATTTAACTTTGACGTTGTTGTTAATTAAGATAACCGAAGGAGGCTACTAGAGAATACAAAAAGTAAGTTTCATCACAACTCTCGTAGCTTAGCTTGTACCTTAGAACATAAACCTTCATTCCATTTGCTAGCAACAATTTTTTTTTTTTGAAAAGCTAGCAACAATTTTCTATGTCTGTGTAATCTGTTAATAATAGACTTCTTCATTACCTTAAGGTTTGTGATGATATAAGTTTCTTCTTTCACTTCCATTGGCGCGAAATTTCAAAATCATCAAATCGCTCTTTTTTTTTTGAAAAGGCAGATAGGGTAACCTAACCAGCCAAGTCATCAACAACACTCTGTCTCAAAAACAAAGGGACATGAACATACATAAAACAAGAGGACAAACAGTCAACCGACTTAGCTAGGGAATGAGCAATATCATTACCAGTGCGCCTTACATAAGAAACTTTAGAGCAGCCAGTAATAGTCAGACCAACACGAACTTCATCTGCAATAGGAGCCAAGGAAGCAAAAGAAGAAGGAGAGTCCACCTAGTAGACAACCTTCTTTTATTATATTAACTACCAAAATTGATGTGTGTAGTCTCCTCCGAATTATAACAATTAACGAGGGTATTTAAATTAAATTTTGTTGAACTTTAAGACACCGGAAGAGGGAGGGGGGAAAAGAAACTTCAGGGTATTAATGTTGAAAACGGGCAGACTTCGGGTATTTAATTGCAAATAACTTTTTTTTAATTAAAAAAAAAGGGCCCACATGACATGGAGAACCAATTGGACTTCTATCTCCCACCTCCTGAGCTCTCAATAGAAGCCCTAAAATCGAAGCGCTCGCTCTCGTCCCCCCAAACTTCAAAACAGGTACCTTTCCTCTTTTTCATCCATCGAAAACCCCTCGATTTCGTACAAATTTCATTTCTTTCTATCTAATTTGATATGTTTTCGATTTGCACCCTGTTTAATCTCAATCTTATTACAAACTATTTAGTACATGATTAAGCTACGGAGCATAGATTTATAGTTTGTAGACTTTGATCTGTCTGCGACTACTCCTTTTTCCCTGAAAAAAACGTTTTTTTTTTGTTTTTGTTTTTGTTTGAAGCGTAGGTTTGTAGTTCGTAGGCTGTTGGCTGTTGAAAATTGCATCTCAAAAGTTCGAACTTGACTTTTGTAGTGAATTTTTAGCTGAGCTGTTCCCACTAATTGTGTTTTGGTTTGTCAATGAATAAAATCTGCGTCGTTTGTTTTTTTTCTTTTCAAAATGCAGCTTGTCAGTGTTCTCACATAGCAAAGCAAGTGTTTTGCACTAACTCGAGTTATTATTATATTGAAAGGAATTATGTGGGTGGGAGCTCTTAATCTTGTGAAGCATGAGATAGAACAAATCTAATAATAAGAGCTCGTTTATTGTACGGAGATGTATAGAGGAGGCCTCGACAGATTCAAGAAAGCTCAATCTCTTGAACCCTTCTCTGTGTCCAACAATTCGGCTTCCAAAACTAATTCAGCTCCTAAAACAGATACCCAACCTCCCGTAAAATCCCTCAAACATCAAAACCCACAAAATGCTGCTCAGAGACCGGCAGTTCCTGAACCGGCCGTGCCACCTCAGCATGTGACTCAGCTAGGTGGCGGCCAGTCCACCTGGCAACCGCCGGACTGGGCAATAGAGCCGCGAGCCGGGGTTTACTATTTGGAGGTGGTGAAGGATGGGGAGGTTCTTGATCGTATCAATCTGGACAAGCGAAGGCATATATTTGGGAGGCAGATTCCTACTTGTGACTTTGTGCTTGATCACCAGTCTGTTTCTCGCCAGCATGCGGCTGTGGTTCCTCACAAGAACGGGAGGTTAGACCTTTGAATATTGCATTTTTTTTTAATTTCTCGCTGTCTTGTTGCTTAGAGTTCTTGAATGTCCGAATCAAGAGTTATAGACGAATGTGTATATATTACTGATAATAATTGGAATGCATTATGGATTTGATAAAATGTTGTATATGACTTATCTCACAGTCAGTTATGAATAGTCTCATGCTAAGAGAAAACTGTAGCATTATTCACCGTTCTATTTTTTATCACTATTATTTTAGTTGAACTGGTCTCCTATTTGTAAACCCATGAGTTTAGAATGTCTATTTCTAGTCTTAGACTCGTGGAGGTTCATCGTACATACGTCACGTGTTTCCAAAATTGATGGGATCCTATATGAACTTTCGATTACTATAGCGTAAGGTATTTTAATTTGGAATCTGATTGACTGACAACATCTTATTGCCTCTAACTAAAAGATCAAGTGGGCTAGTTGTTAGAAACCAATTGGTTTCTTTTGAACTTAAACTCACAATCACAACTTAAAAACTTGTTGATGATGATAACCAGAAGCTAATCCATACACCCCCTGGTGAATGGCCTAGTGGTTAGGGCTTGGGGCCTTGCCATGGCATGCATATCTTTAATTTCTAATTATTAGGCATTGCAACACTTGTGCTATTCACTTTGGTATAGATTGCGAAGTGGGGCTCTAGGCCTTTGTAATGATCATAGATTTTATGACATGTTGTATATGACTTATCTCACACTCGGTTAGTAATAGTCTCATGCTAAGAGGAAACTGTAGCATTATCGACCCTTCTATTTTTTATCACTACTATTTTAGTTGAACTAGTCTCCTGTTTGTAAAACTCATGAGTTTAAAATATCTAATGCTAGTTTTAAACTCATGGTAGTTCATTTTTACGTACATCAGATGTTTCCAGAATTGATGGGATCCTATATGAACTTCCGATTACTATAGTGTAAGGTATTTTAATTTGGAATCGGATTGATTGATAGCATCTTATTGCCTCTAACTAAAAGATCAAGTGGGCTAGTTGTTAGAAACCAATTGGTTTCTTTTAAACTTAACCTCACAATCACAACTTAAAAACTTGATGATGATAACCAGAAGCTAATCCACACACCCCTGGCGAATGGCCTAGTGGTTAGGGCTTGGGGCCTTGGCTCGAAAGGCCAAGGAGTGATCCATACCATGGCATGCCTATCTTTAATTTCTAATTATTAGGCATTGCAACACTTATGCTATTCACTTGGGTATAGATTGCGAAGGGGACCTCTAGGTCTTTGTAATGTTCGTAGATTTTATGACATGTTGTATATGACTTTTCTCACACTCGGTTAGTAATAGTCTCATGCTAAGAGGAAACTGTAGCATTATCGACCCTTCTATTTTCTATCACTACTATTTTCGTTGAACTAGTCTCCTATTTGTAAAACTCATGAGTTTAAAATGTCTATTGCTAGTTTTAAACTCATGGTAGTTCATTTTTACGTACATCAGATGTTTCCAGAATTGATGGGATCCTATATGAACTTGTGATTATCATAACATAAGGTGTTTTAATTTAGAATCTGAATCACTGATAACATCTCATGCTTCAAAACAAAAAATCAAGTTGTTAGAAGCCAATGGGTTTCTTCTAAACTTAACCTAGCAATCACAACTTAAAAACTTGTGCTATTCACTTGGGTCTGGAACGCCAAATTTGCTTACTTAATATTCTAATACTAACAAGTACAAATTTTCCTGAATTTTCGCTGTTAGCAACCAAAGTTGGGGAATCTTTGAGTAACGGGCTCAACCAAGAAGACCCCTGGTCTATAAGATTCTGAAGTAGAAATGTGAACTGAAGGGTCTTTCCTCCATCTATATTTCTTACAATTGATTCCTATAAGGGGGTGTTAGTCAATTGGGACCTTGTCATGCGAAGTGGGATAATTGTTAAAGTGGAACAATTTTTTGCTAGTGAGATATTTTAGTGGGATAAATAGGAATAATTTTGTGAAGCGGGATATTTTGATAAAATAACATAGGATAAATTTTTATAATCATAAAGTATATATTTATGCATTTTGAGGATATAAATACTATTTATGTATTTTTACACTTACTATTATTGATTGATAATTGTTTACTAGAATGTTATTTACTATTAAATAATTTTTGTTTAGACTATAATATATTGACAATTATTGTTATGATATATGTTGTAGCTTTTTTATTATTTTTTAATTATTATTATAGTACAAGTCTAAAAAAAAGTTTTTCACATTTTCCTTTCTTTTTTGCTCCCTGAGACCTCATCTCTCAATTTTATTGTTTAATAAATTATGGATTGATATAATTTTTACTTTTAAATTAATTATATAATTATAATATTCGATAAAGAAGAATATATCAGAGATGACTAAGAGGAGACGAGATCTGATCTGAGGTATGGTCTACTGATGGTGATGACCATAGTAGAAAAGAAGTAAAGAAAAAAGAAATATAAAAAATAAAAAATAATAAAATAAATAGGAGTTCTAGTGTTTTACCACATAGTTCTAAACTAAAACTTGGGATAATTTGAGAAACTAAAACTCTCATTTTTGTATAGGAAAATGAAAAAAGTGGGATAATTTTATACAATTATCTCAATTCTAGTTTTGTCAGAGTTTTAGTTGACTAACACTATAAAATTTTGTTCTAGTTTCAGTTCTAGTTGACTAACACTATAAAATTTTATCCCACAAATTATCCTAGTTCTAATTTTAAGTTCTATTTGACTAACCCTCCCTAAATGAAAGACGGATGTTAATTGCTCGCACTTCATAGTCTTCGTCCACTTTATTTCTCTAAGTCTTGACACCTATCTCGTTCTCAATGGCATCTTTCTCAGCATTGTTGGGCTTCAGCAATGTGCTCTTGGTATCTAATGCAAGGGTAGAGAACTCTTCTCTCAATATTTATAACTCTTCACAACTTGGTCATGATAATCTTTTTTAAATACACTAAAATTTCAAGTAACGTGCTAATTATAAACTTATTTTAATTATTTTCACTTTTTACGTTCTGCATTCTTGTCTTCTTTTCCGATCGTGCATTTCTTATTTCGCCTGCCCATGTAATATGATACTTCTTTCTAAGAGAATTAATATAATTTTTATGTACATGATATACAAATATCTGTGAAAAACTTGAAAGGAAAAATTTAATCATCCTTGCTCTTTAGAAATTTGAACATGCTTCATGAACTAGTCTTTACTGATTTATTTACACTATTTCTACAGCATCTTTGTCATTGATTTAGGATCTGTCCATGGTACATTTGTTGCAAACGAGAGACTAACAAAGGACAGTCCAGTTGAACTCGAAGTTGGACAATCACTAAAGTTTGCTGCCTCTACTCGAAGTTACGTCTTGAGAAAGAACACGGCCGCTCTTTTTCCCACTCCTTCACTTCCCTCAGAACTCAATCTCCCTTCTCCTCCTGATCCGTCTGATGAAGATGCTGTTGTTGCCTATAACACAATACTTAATCGTTATGGCGTTTCGAAATCGGAGAATAATAAAATTGAAAGACCGACAAAGAAGCGCAAAAGGATAAGAGTGGCCTTCAAAGATCAAGTAGGCGGGAGTTTGGTTGAAGTTGTCGGTATCTCGGATGGAGCAGATATTGAAACTGAACCGGGTCCAATAGGGGTGAAGGAAGGAAGTCTTGTTGGCAAATACGAGTCTCTTATACAAACTACGGTAATACCAAAAGGGAAGGAGCAAGTATTGCCTAAAGAAGATAGTGTTTCGCCTAAAGGGGTTACTGATAAGCTACAACAGGTGTTCAAAAAAGTTAAAAATAATCCTAAAGGTGGGATTTATGATGATCTTTATGGTGATTCGTTTAAGGTTGGTTCTTCTTGGGCAAAGACATTGGAGGGAAAATCAGACAAAGGTCTTGATTCAGGTACAGAGAAGGTTGATGCTAATATTCTGGATGATAGCGACGATCTATTTGGTTGATTTTGTATGACGCATGAAGATTTTGAGTTATTTTTGAGACGGACCAAATTTTTGGGATGTATGGCTGTGTAAAAGCCATGAGCGGACGTATGTCTTGAGCCAGGTACAGTTCTTTCTGTGGAATGATCTACAAGCAGAGTCTTTCGGATTTGTGAACATGGACTATCATATTCTTCAGTGTATGAAATGTTTACTTGGAAACACATTGGCAATGATAGCATCATATGAGCAAACCATGATGCTATTATTATCATTGAATTTGATCATCCTCTTGAGTTAAACTTATGCTTCGGTTGGTGTTTTGATCCATTTTCGCATGCGTAAGAAGAAATTTGATCTTGCTGATTATCCTACTAGTGAATGTAACTCTTGTAATCAGCAAGTCTAGACCAGTTAGTACCCTTCAACTGTGCTTGCAGTGTCTAAATTTATTGTTCGATCATATCGATTAAATGTATCAATGGATCTAACCAGCATTCGCCGGGCTTTTCTGTGATTATACGTCGAGTGTATGATGAAGTGTTTTATGCTAATTCTTGAGGTACGGAGGGAGTACTCGTTATTCATGATTTCCCCCTTCTTTTTACAGTGATGGATGGATGATGAAGATGTTTTGTGTTTTGTTGTAGAGGGGTTCATGGTCATTTGTCATCTGCTCCGTTGGGATTATTTATTTTATTTTATTTTTTGTCACCATGGATGCGCAATATAAACAGGACCTGGGTTTGTCGAAAGCAATTGGATCAAAATTAGTTACTTCTGTCTCCAGAATTTTAACCAATAAGATAAATTAGGTAATGGCGTTTCCAAACAAGCACACAGCCGAACCACAAGTAGAATGAAAAAAAAAAAAGCAACAATGGATCTTTTGACTTAGAATATAGAGGTCGGTCCAGTGTTTTTCTCAATTAAAATGAAAATCATAACATCTTTATTTATTTCCTGTTTTCAATAATATTGTCTAGGCACAAATATAATATGAAGGTATATTAATACTTAGTTTCTTTGCATATTTCTTACGGGATAACTTATAATTTAGAGGGCGCATCAAAATTTCGTAATAAAAGCTGAAATAAATGTTAGGACAAATTTTCCTTTTAGACCTCTTTAGAAACATATTTACAAAAATCGACCTCATTTGAAAATAATCTTCAATTTCGACCTAGTTTCAGCCAACTAATTGAAACTGGGTCGAAATTGGTAAAAAATGTTCAAAAACTTGATGGGATTTGAAATCCCGTGAAATTTAAGTCATTTTATTAACGAGGTGGTTAAGGGGACGAAATCTTCATGAGATTTGAAATCCCGTAAAACTTAAACTTCACGGGGGATTTCAAATCCTGTGAAGTTTGCAGGCTGAAAAATCCCCAACTGAAAATCTCATGAAGTTTGCAGGCTGAAAATTCCCCAACTGAAGCTTCCTTGAAACTTCCCTCTTTCTTTAAAACCTCTTCCCTCCCCCCTCTCCCTCTTTATTAACGACGTGGTTAAGGGGACGAAATCTTCACAGGATTTGAAATCCCGTGAAACTTAAACTTCATGGGATTTCAAATCCTGTGAAGTTTGCAGGCTGAAAAATCCCCAACTGAAAATCTCATGAAGTTTGCAGGCTGAATATTCCCCAACTGAAGCTTCCTTGAAACTTCCCTCTTTCTTTAAAACCTCTTCCCTCCCCCCTCTCCCTCTCTAAGCCCAAAAAATCATGAAGAACATCATCAACATTCCCTCCCTCTTCTCGAAGAAATCGAAGAAGAGGAAGAATCAACCCTCTTCAATCTCCAACGGATCCCGAACGTATTCATCCTCCTCCTCTTCAAGCTTGATCCTGAACCTCTTCGACTGCGACGACAAGATTAGCAACCGCGAGCTTGAGGCAGTGCTCCGCCAGCTCGGACCCGACCCGCTAACTGAATCAGAGCTTGCTTTCATAGTCGATAGGACCCGACCCGCTAACTGAATCGGAGCTTGCTTTCATGGTATGGATCGGGACGGAGACGGGCAAGTGAGCTTGGAGGTTGGCCTGCAAACTTCACGGGATTTCAAATCATGTACTCACGGGATTTCAAATCCCGTGAAGATTTCGTCCCCTTAACCACCTCGTTAACAAATGGCTTAACATGATTTCAAATCCCGTCAAGTTTTTGAACAATTTTTGCTAATTTCGACCCAGTTTCAGCCAACTGGTTGCACTGGATCGAAATTAGCGATTATTTTCAAATGTGGTCGATTTTTGCAAATATATTTCTAAAGAGGTCTAAAACGAAAATTTGTCCTGAATGTTACGTATCAGTTATGTTGGATCTATGTAAATTATTTTAGTAAGCAAACTTGTGTAAGTGTCATGATATAAATTTCACACAAAAAAAAAAGGCGTGCAAAAGCTTCCCGTTGGAAACTTGTTTAAAAATGATAGATCATGAGAATATTTGCATTATACAGTAATAGAGATAATAAAACACTTGTGTACACAAATAGCCGATGATCACCAAAGGGCAGTATACTTCGTCGACTTGATCGTCACTTTCTTGCCAGGTTGAAGGTCGTCAAGCACAAGGTCACACCGTACACTAATCGAAAACGACACGGTATCAACGTCAAAGACCCGGAGCTTCACCGGAACCTTGACGAAAACCTCCAGCGGCACGTCGCCTTTCATCTTATCCTCCTCTAGCGACTCCTCCACCTCCGTCGATAACTTAACACTCCCCTCCATCATTATTGACATCACTGTCACGTTCTCATGGTCCTGGAAGAAGCTCGGCAGCTTTCCGCTGCAGAGATCCGTGCTCCGGTACACCAGCCTGACGTTTGAGTCCTCAAGGTAGGTGATCCCGATTTTCTTGTTTCCGTTTTCTGTACGGATGGTGATGTTGAGCCGGGCGTGGAGCGTGAGGTCGGACGAGACGTTGAAGTTGATGACGTCGAAGTCGGTGACGGAGTAGGAAGGGACTTTAGGGTCTATGAAAACCATGGCAGCAGCGAGAACGGCGAGAACGATGAAGATGAGGAGGAAGAGCAGCAAGCTAGCACCGGACAGACAGGCACGACACGCAGCACTTTTTAATGCCGCTGCAAGTTTTGTAACGGGGGGCGGAAGCCGTGGGGAGCTGCCGCGAGGCAGCCTCGCGCCGCCGAGCTCGGCGAGACGCATAGCGGGTATTTGGATCCTCTTTCTTGCCCATGCAATTCTGGTTTGGGGGTGGGGGGTAGAAATTGTGGGTATTTGTTGTGGGTACTGGGGATTTTGAAGGGGTATACGTTGAGAAAAAATGGAAGGTATCAAAAGTTGTTTGGTTTGGAGGGAAGGGAGGAATTTTAGAGTGGTTAAATTTGGAGGGTAGGCTTGTTTATTGTTGGTATAGATAGATTAGCGGTGTAGGATTTCATGACAAAATGGGAAAAATAGGCACAAGGTAAGTTGGTTAGGAGATGAAATTGCTATCATCATACTGTGGTCTCAAAACAAATATGACTTAGAATCAGGATATATGATCATACAGAATTTGCTTGGGGAGGAAAAAAAAAAAAAATTTATGGTTAATTTTGTGACTTGCTGTCCCTTGGACTCATTGTTGCAAAGAGACCCCAGGATAAAATATTTCAGCCATTTTTACACTTGGCGATATTTTGGCAGTTATTGCTCCAGGATGAAATTAGTAAAAGTCTATATGAGGGTCTATCTGCAGTGATGAAACTATATGGGTAGTAAGTTCGAAACAGTGATACCACGGGGGTCTATGAGCAACAAACCATGAATCTATCGCAAATTGCAAAACTCCCATATTAACACAACGTTGTAACCTGAAAAACACAGTAAAAACTTGAGACAGAATGATTGGTCGTTAAATAACAGCAAATAACAAAAGAAGATGACATTTCATTAATGAACAGGTTCAGGGTTTTTGCTTTCAGCAAACAAGAAACAATAAGGAAGTTGCCAAGGTACATATTATTCTATGTCATCTAAACCCAGAGGGTCTCTAGAAAACATACCATCCAAAACACTCATGCCATCCAAAATACAGAAAACCAACCATTGCTTCAGTAGATTTCCTCATAACGCCGCAGCTGTATCAGCCTCATCTTGCTTCATTGAATAGAAAAGATCCAAGACATCTGCATGATTTTTAACACGACCTGGGGATAAAGAAAACAAATCATGCGCAATTTGATGCCTCCCCTCCTTGAATAATGCTTCAAATACACGAAGAAACACTGATGTTGATGGGAATTCGTTAGTCTTCATCGCCTTCAGAAATATCATAGCATCATCAGCACTCCCTGACCTTGAAACGTATCCAACAAAAGGATCTATATAAGGAGGAAATCCATCGCTTTTCATCAACTCAAGAAGGCTTGAAGCTTCTTTAACTTTTCCATGATTCACTAATCTCTCAATCAGAAACTTGTATGTAGTGTGCCAAGGTTTCACATTTCTCTTGGTAACCATCTCTTTAAGGACCTTCAGCGCATATTCATCACTTTTCTTCTGGCAAAGTTCATGTATCAATACTTCGAAAGCACATCCAACGGTATCGCCGCCTTTTCTTTCTACCATCTTCTTCAAACAAGCTAACGCCTTATCAAAATTACCGGTGAGAGAACTTTTTTTAACCAAAGATGACCATGTGTTCAAATCCAAATTCTTACCCGATTTTTCCAAATTATCGGCATATTCTAAAGCTTCATCCAGCTTTTTCGCGTCACAGAGTCCAGCAACAACATTTCCATATACATTAGCATCTGCCACAAATCCTCCTCCTTCCATCGCCTTCAATATTTTATCACACTCCCCTAGTCTCCCAACACTCCTCAATGATTTCAGAACACCATCAAAGGTAGATCCTCTGATAACATTTGCAGCACTAATATAAGCTTGAACGACATTGGATACAAGACTCAAGTTCAAGTCTTTAGACACCAAAACCTTTTTAAGCAAGAACAAGAAATCTTGTAGCTGAGGATTTTCCGATCTGCCCATTGCAAAAGCATACAATTCTACAGATTGAGAGATCATCCTTCGCTTGATGAACCTATCGAGAACTTTAACCAAAGTTTCCCTCTCTATTTGAAACCCAGAGTTCTTCATCTTTTGAAGAATCTCCCAGAACTTATCGATACAATCTTCACGCCCTAAAACCCTAGCCATCGCATTAGAAACTCTGGCATCCATTTCAAAAGATGGGTTCTCTTCAATCCATTGGAAAAACATCAAAGCCTTATTTGGGTAAGCACTAAGCTGATCCAATGCAGAAACAACCAAGTCCGACGACAAATCAATGCCTAAATCTTGTAATTTCTTAAGGACCACTTCACTTTCCTCCTCTTTTTCTCTCAACAACATTTTATAAATTCGTGAAGCTAGAATATGAGGTGACTTCATGGAATACAACTCCTCGAGCCGTTTCAAATCCTCCTCCAACCCATCATTCTTAAACCTCTCTGAAACTTTCAAGTAGGCTCCTTTTTCGATTCGATACCCTTTCTCCTCCATGATTTTAACCAAACCCCAGAATTCATTCGTTTCCCCCTTCTTCACAGAGATTTCAAGCATCAAATTGAAAGATTTCGACCTTATCAATCGATTCTCCTTCACTTCTCTCTCCAAAACCCAATCGAAAAACCTCTTTGCTTTCTCCGGGCTCTCTTCCAGATTCCTAAGCACCGAGTGAACCGTCTCGTGATCCAAATCAGTCTTGATCTCATCGAAACTATTTGATTTTGAGAAGATCTCGGTCAAAAGGACTGCGTTCTGATCTCTGTTCTGATCCAACGCAGGATCAGAAGAGAAATGGCGCGAACCAGGGTTGAAAGAGGGGGGGAATCTAGGGTTTGGGAGCTGTGAGGATCTCACCTGAAGATTGGGAGCTCGGAGAGTTGAGATCGGCGATGAGGGTCGAGGGAGGCTGCGATTGAAGAGAAGTCTCCATGCGCTCTTCATGATTGTTGTACCCTTGAGATCTAGGGTTAGGGTTTCTTAGGGTTTAAGAGAGAGTGGTGAGATTTTTTATTATTTTATTTTTTTTATTATTAAAGGGTTTTAGCGCCATTCGAAGCTCGGCGGCGGAAGGTAATGAAGTTATTTAGTTCGCCGAGTAAATTACAACAAACACCCTCATCTTGCGTCCAGCTTATCAAATGACCCCCTCGAGTTTAACAAAAAACCACTTCATATACGAGCTTTAACAAAATCGTTAATTTTGTAATAAAGTTTCGTTCTCCAGACATCTCGACAATCTATTATTAAAACTATCAAGTATCTTTTTTTGTCATTTAAATACGCGGTTGTTTTCAGAAGCAGGGTGTTACCATCTTCTATTAGTTAAATGTTGCGTTAAACATTAGAATATACCCTCGAAAAATTGCATATGACTTGCACGTGATGAAAATGTGTTAACTTCCATGTTATAGTTTTCACCATTTAACTAATAGAGGGTAGCAATGTGCGTATTTAAAAATAAGATAGTTAGTATGAAACCCGTTCGAATTTAACAATTTATTAAGGAACCTCGTAACATTATTATTTTTGATCGCCACAAACCCATACTGGCTGCTGTAAAGAATTGTTAAGATCTATTTATATTCCTACAGGGTATTTAAATGCCAGGGAAAAAAAAACTTTGGGTATATAAATGCAAAGCCATGGAAACCTTACGGTATCTAAGTGCTATTTATTCTTTTTGTTAAACGCTTTAGATTAGAGGGTTTACTTTTTCGTTACTAAAACAAAAGGAGGTTTTATGCAAAGGTTACCCTTATTAAAGTAGAGATCACATCGGATTCCTTACTTAACCGGAAACCCGACCCGACCCGACCCGTCACCTTGGCTTCTATAATTTCTCTCTAACCTCGCTCGCGAAATTTCTAAAGCTTTGCTCGCTGGTCTAATCTAATAATAAAAGGAAAAGAGGTATTATGATTTCTTTTCTCTCTCTCTCTCTCTAATTCTTCTAATCTTTTAAATGTATAATAATTTGATGCTCTAACCCTTATTTTGATATCCGTGCCTCATGCTTATTGGTAACAGATCAGTCATCTCCTGATCTTAATTTGTTTTTACTTTTTCGTTAGCGATCAGCATTTTTTTTTAAACAAAAATCTTGTTTGTTGCCTGATTGGATCATTTGGGTTTTGAGTTCTTCGATAGGTTTCTTGCTTTGTTTGCTTGCTTGGTGCCCAAGACACAATTTTTATGCGAAGTTGGGGACTTGTTCATGGAATTTGGACGGATGACACGTGTTTCGTGGTTATTTGCATTATTTCTTTGTTTTCCATCTATAATAATGATTTTTTTCAATTAGATCCCAAAAATATATATATAAAAATATGAGGATGAGGAAGGTTTCAAAGTGGGTAAACTTGGAAATATGAATATCATGTCACATGACTATCATGCGACCATCATTTCTATTGTAAGCTTATGTTGAATAGCTTAGCAGGGGTAGTTCAGGGTTTTTCTTGAAAAGCAAGGTATAGACAAAGGTATTTATTAACCCTTTTATTAGGAGAAGAAAATTGATTTTGTGTTTAGAGTTGGTTGCTTCATTTGATTTAAGTAATAATAGATTTAGCGTGATTATTTAATGATGATTATAACATATTTTAGATGTGTTTCTACAGGTGAATGTTTACCCATTTTAATGAAAAATTTAAACATACTTTGGTAGATGAATGTTTACAGATGTATTTCGACAGGCGAACTTTTTAAGAAAACACCCTTTTATTTATTTAGATATCTAGTTTAGTCAATTTCAAGTATAAAAAGGTGTTTATTTAAGTTTAGCTAATAAATTTGTGAATATATTATTTTGAAAAAAAAAGATTTAGTGTTTAGAGTTGGTTGATTCATTTACATAATAGTAGATTTAGCATATATTTTAATGTTTGATTATAACAAGGTTTAGATGTATTTTGATTGATGAATTTTTATAAATTTTAATGTGAATTTGAAACATATTATGTGATTGATTTCTTTTTTATGCTAAATATATCCTTTTTGGAGAAAGGGAGGGAAGTATTATTTGATTCTAATAGTACTCATACATAACTGTTTATTCTTTCGCAGATTTCTCTTTCAGCTTCAATATGATACCTACGTTGATTGCAATTTCTCCGACCTTACCGTCTTTGTGTCCTCGAGGTATGTTGATATTTGATGGCTCATTTATTGACCTTTCTACAGACTTAGTTTAGGGAAAGGCGAAATTAACCAAGAGTCTTCACCTCTTGGTTATTGTTGTTATGTTGCCTTAGTTTCTCAGCTTGTTGCTAAATTTAGTTTTGGTATATGTAGTGCAATCATTTCACATTCTTGAATTGTTACTCTAAAAGGTTGTGCATTGAATCGTTATTCAGACTAGTAGATTATAGCCAATATAAGAGCAAAAGATTTCAGGTTAATTATACTATTTCTCAGTCATCTACAGTGTTTTCAAATGCGCGCGCCTCATTGCGCCTCATGCGCCTTACGATGCGGGGCGGTGGCGATGCGCCCCACATCTGATGCAGCAGCGCCTTTTGCGCCTTGCGTACATCCGTACTTTGTGTAGGATGCATGTAGTGCATTTCCTCATATAGTTTTTTTTGTTAACATTTCAATCGAGTCTTTATACTTGATATTCCATATCCCAAAAAACAAAATAAATCCATTGGGCTTTTTTAATAACCTTCAATTGAGGACCATTACTAATCCTTAGTTTGGATATAAGTCTTGATTTAACATTTGATTTGAAAATTTATGAAATTTACTACTATGTTGGGTGTTAGCATTAGAAATTAAGGCAATATATTGTGATTTTGTAGCAAGATATTATTTATCATGATATTTTTTATGTAAATTCTAAAAATATGTTCTTTCGCGCTTGATTACATATATTGAAATATTATGTGTGGTGTGCGCCTCGCATCACTCGGGTGCGCGCATCGCGTTACGCCTTGCGCATGTGCGCGTAAAGATGCTTTGCGCCTCGCATTGCGCCTCGCGCATTGAAAACACTGGTCATCTACATATTATGAGGTCCAATTGCACCGAGTGGTAATCAGCTTTTCTATAACCTAATTCTACCCTTTCTGTGGTTTAACTTAGCAATGATGTTTATATAGTTTGTAAACTTAAGGGTTGGTTTGGTAGATGGTTTGATATTTGATGATTCTCAAAAAGCAAACGAAGACAAAATTTTAAACTTTTTACCTGTTCCTTAAATATCATTAATATGCCATTCTTTTCCTCCAATCTCCATGCACCAAAGTAATAATAAACACATGGCACTATTATCTTGAAAATAAAACAGTTTGAAAGTAATCCATCGATGGTCAGACAACTTTGTTAATGGTGTGATCTATTTTAAAATTGAAATATGTGAGTCAAAGTTCATTGTTCCTCTTTCTATATATATTAAAAGACAGGTATCGTTTTCTCCTTCTCCTTTGAAATATTATGTCATTTTCTCTGTAAAACTAAAATACAAATTTCATAGCTGTGGGACTCTACCCCTAAAAGTTATGGTACTATTTATTCTTCCTCCAAAATTCCAAATATAAAGTAGCTGACATCCATTTTCTCTGATCCCATTAAATTTAAAGAAAAAGTGGCTATTATTATTATCTCCAAATTTTTTCTAGCCGTGGTGAAGTCTTCATCATTGGAGATTAATTCCAGAAGAGAAAGTTATTTAAGGGCATAATGGTCACCATGTTGCAGAATGCAGAATTATAATTTTTTTGATATATCATCTGTTGTTGCACTGGAACTCTGGTGGATGGCCCACAAATTGTGTACATAGAAAATTGTGTTGTAAGTTGCAGAAACTCATGATCAAACAATTTTGTCTGGTGAAATAGTAGACTGAATTTGCGGGTAAACTTACACCTGAAGGCAAACAAGATCCAGCATTGCTGCAAGGGGTAACCATAAATTGTCATAACTTCTCCGATATGCTAATGTGCATAGGGGAGGATCCATAGGGGTGCAGTTGCACCCCTAAGCGTTTACAAAACTGCATGTAAAGTCATGTAATTTTTACATCCGTGATCCGGCCCCCATAATTTTTAAAAATTGCACCCTTAAGCCCAAGCTATCTAAAAAAGTTGAAGAAACTAGTATAAATTTAAATTAGCCCTTTGAGAAGTAAAGGTTTATTTATATTTCTAACAATAAAGTGTACTAAGGACATTCCCAGCAGATACTATAGTTCTATAATATTATATTTTTTTGTTTTTGATAAATAAACACTCCGGGGAATTTTTTTGGATCCGCCACTGAGTGTGCTTGCACTTATTAGCTCAGAGTTACATGCAGTTAGATTCCTAGAAATCCAGCTTTCTATATAATTTACATAAACGACCTAGTGTTCTTAAACGATATCAGACTCACAGCATAATTAAGAATTTCTCATTATTAAAAGAGTTGTATTGTTCTGTTCAACCTTTAAGTCACTGCCAACAGAGCAAAATAAACTTCATCTTGTAGTACAATTTAACTAGTAAAATGCTTGAACTAAGTAGTAGTGACTGGCTTCTTGCATCACTTTTATCTTGCAGAAGATGCTATATCTTCAATTCGTTAAAAAGGTATAGAAGGACCTTTGTATTCTATATCATAGAGATGTATGCACTTGCTTACAAGTTACAACATCTTTCTGTTTCATTTCACGTCTCTTCATTTCAGCAAGGGAACTAGTCGTAGAGTCGCTCGTTATAGGCTTCTGTATCAGGCCAGTCCCTTTCCTGCATATTGTCTCAAGTAGCAAATTGACACAAAACTCAATTGAGGTAGCATTGAGTTATCAAATTTGTATCGATCCATTCATTTGCCCATTAAATCAAATGTACACCCAACTATAGTTAGATTAAACTCTCTTTTTATCAGTGGATTTTCATATAGACTGGAATTTTACCTAACAACTGGAGTTCTTTGTCACCTTGTTTATATTTCTGCCTACATGCCTTTACATGAGAACAGCACTTGTTTTTTAATAGATTTTTTAGCGCGCAGCCTAATAGTTACGCCTTCTTGATCAAAGTCGTCACTTTATATTATATTGCAGTTTCAGCATCAAATGTTAGATTTTGGTTTCATCTTCAAGAAGACTCTTTTAGTGTTTAGATTTTATTTTCTTATCTTTTAGACTTTAACAAATAAGCAAAGTCCGTTAAATTGTATGATTCTGTGAGTGCAGGACATGCAAAAGTTAGGCAAGATAAGAGGCTCCAAGCTAGTAATTCTTTCCTGCCAATGCCAGATATTCGATCTAAACTTTGTAAAGGTGGTCGGATTTCTTATGCGCGGCGACAACCGCATAAAGCAAGGATATGTGCTGCTTCCCTGGTATGTGTTGTAAAACATTCGTCATTCAATATACAAGGGAAAAGCTTTGCAATAGTTTACTCCACGCACTTTTGAAGTCCACAAAACTAGTGGAAAGCTAAGTTGCATGGAAACGGGCACGGGTACTGGTATGGGTGTGGGTACGGGACACGACAAAACTGTAAAATGTAGGGTACGGGGACACGACTACATATATATATTGAATTAATATTGTACATAAGATAATTTTTCCCCTTCATGTGCCATTAGAATTAAAATTCCGATCACATTTTTGAGTTTCTTTTATCATATTGATTATCGTGAATTGTAAACTACTCATTTTTTTACTAGACATCTAAACGACCCATTAACTATATAGTTTTAAACTTGGGTATGGAATGAAACGAATCCGACCCGTATCTCATTAGTTTCAAAAGACGGATGTGAAGGGTAAGCTCTATGTCCAGGAAGTCTTTGACAAGTGTTTTAAATTAACACATATATTGTATAATTGAGTACATGTTGTAATAAATGCATGCATATATTCAAGAAGTGTCCATGAAGTTTGGGTACAGGAAAGTGTCGGGTACGTGTCCGGTACGGGTACGGCTTCATTATAGAAGTACCCGGGTAACATAGGTGGAAAGGCTCAAAATACTGGAACAAGTTATACTGTGTGATTAAAAATATGTGCAATTGTGATAACAAAGGTGCTATACTTCGACCAGAAAGATGCAGTTATAGGCTGAAAGTTCTGGATAAAGCTCAAGCTTTCAACCTGTTGGTACAGTTTTGAGAGACCGTAGTTAATTATAAATTGAAAAGCTACAGCAGAGTGTATACATATTGAGAATTGATCTGTTAATATCTGCAATACGACTGTATTTTGTATCAGAATATGACTGTTATGATCAGGAAAACCTTATGTAGCCTGATCTGAACTACCCTGGTTTCATATGCATGTCCAGAAAATTTAGATTTAGTCACATGTATTTAGGAATGGATTTATGTATGATTAGTATTGAAATAAAGAAACGAGACATGAAAAACTGGTATGTCCAAGGATATTTAACGATCAGACGAGCTCCAGCTTCAAATACAGTAGACTGGAAATTTCTAATCGGGCTGCTGCTTCGCTATTTACATTGATAAGCAACTTGCTGTGGATTATAAATCTTTTGTTGATATAGCTTGATTCTAAAATCTTAAACTCTTCTTATTTCCATGCATTTAATAGATACATTAGCTTCTCAATCTTATAAATAACCTGGTATTAGAGAGTATCTGAACCCTAAACCAAGTCTGATCCTGATCAGTGTTTCACAGCACGCATTTTTAATATACTGTATATTAGAACATGAAAACCTGAATGGTATGATATATTGAGGTCAAAGCCTCACAAACTCTGATGGATGTGTTTGTGATCAAAATTTGGCACACGCTTCCCCTCTTCAGGTTTGGTTATATCTAGGCTAAGTTTGGACACCAGCCATAACTGTACAAGTATGACTTTATTTTATATGTGCAACCTTCAACGGAGTTCTTCAGTTAATGCTTCACCTCATGCATGCCACTTACCAATCCCTATACGTATAACTTCTGCAGAATGCAACTTGCGCAGCTGAGCAAACCCAAACCGTGAAGCGTGAATCATCAAAAATAACAATTTCTCCCCTTCATGGTAAAAATCTCAATTGCTTTCCTCTAATCCTTTACGTCTGTAACCAAAACAAATGTGTATGTGGCGCATACTTAACCATATAAACAGAAAAATATTTATATTATTTCGGTTTCGGTCTCAGGCACACACACCCCGAAGCTCGATGATGGAGGCAACGGATCCCCTCCAGAGGACGGTGGCGGAGGCGGCGGAGGCGGTGGTGGAGGAGGCTCTGAATCTTCTGGCGGTTTCTTCTTGTTCGGTTTTCTTTTGTTTCTGAGCTACCTCAGAGACCAGGATGAGGAGTTGGCTTATAGAAATCAAAGATGAATTAATTAATGATCCATTAATACCTTTTGTATACTTTCTTCCTTTCTCACTGTCGTGTTGTTTTTTAGGATCGAGAATGTAATAAGACTGGTACATTGCTTATACAGAGTAAAATAAAATGCAGAGGTTAGTAGTAGTCTTAGGCTTTGCTTTCTCACTGTTGTCTTCAGGTTTGTTTCCTTAAATTTCCTTAAATTCTGGCAAGAAATATATGTTCATTTCGCGACCATAGTATCAGCAAGAAATTTAAAATATTGTTCATACTAGCCATTTGTATAAACATAACTCTACTAATTTTGTTGTCCGCGCATGCGGTTGTTGTTTTGCTGTTTGATTCGATTTTGCAATTGAGGTGCTGCTGGTGTTGGATATGCAATAGTAGATAGAGGCTTTCTTAATAGGAAAATAATAGGGGCACACCCCAACCACACTTCCAACCACACCCCCTCTCTCATTTGCTACAGTGCGTCGGGCCTTACATGGGATTTTTTAAAATCCCATGTGGGGCCGGGTACACTGTAGCAAATGAGAGAGGGGGTGTGATTGGAGGTGTGGTTGAGAGTGTGCCTCTAGTGTCACCCTTCTTAATAGCGGAAATTGGCTTTGGGCCCAGATATCGTAATACAAATAGGCCCAAGTCTCTTGACTTTTTCAACATATGAAAAAAAAAACACCCCTTAAAGAGCCCAAAACTTTCCAAAACCCTCCAATATAGGGTGCCAGGTTATACCTTGTGATTCAAAAAAATTATCCCTGCTTTACCCCTCAACAAGCCTGCTGTCTCTCTCTCCCTTCTCTCTGCTTTTCTGTTAGGTTTAACAGCCAACACCCCCAGAAATCCCTAAAAACTTTATGTGGGGGGTTTTCTGTAAATTTTTGGAAAGCTTGTTTGCGATTTCTAAAACTTATTGGGTGGTTTTCCTACAGTTTTCAGGTGGGTATTTGTAATTTTTGAAATTGTTTTGGGGTATTTTGTAATTTGTAGGGGTTATTTACAATTTTTGTAGCTCTTAATGGCTTTTCTGCAAATTATTGAGGGGTTATTTTTATTTCTTAAACTTTTTTGAGGGGTTTGCTGCAAAATATTGGGGGGTTATTTTTATATCTCCTCTCTCTCACCCCTCTCCTCCTTCGGATCCGACTCCAAGCGGATTCTAGGGCTAGGGTTTTCACTGTTCTCCCTCGAAGCTCGTCGTCGACTCCTCCCTCGAAGCTCGTCGTCGCTTCAAGCTCGTCGTCACTCGAAGATCGTCGTTTACTCATCCCTCGGCCGTCTTCCCTCTCGAGTTATCAGGATGTAAGTCGAAGCTTAAAGTTACCATTGATCTTGATTTTTTTTTTATTTTTTATACTAATTGCTAAATATTACTTCTTTATGACTTTTACAGATAATTTTGCACAAAATCTGATCTCATTTCTCTCGGATCTGTAATTTCAACCAGCTTCATTTAATTTTCAGAGGTGATCTCTCATCCTTACTACTTAATAATCCGGCTCAATGTTTTTCTCGAGCATGAAGCAGAAAATATTTACGTGGTTCCCAACATTTTACCATGAATTCTTGGACTTACTACGGGAGTGCCATCGTGGATAGTTTGGGCTTTTGTTTCGGTTTTGTTAGCAATTATGATTGCACTCTAGTCCCCTCTTTTTTCTCTTTTCCCCACTCTAATGGTCCTCCGAGAGAAGTTAATGGTCCGATTATGTTACATCTAAATGTTACATTATATTTTGTTTTGTTTTTTTGTTTTTGTTTTTGCTTTGTTTTGTTTTTTATAGTGGCCTTTGAACTCTATTAATTGATCGTATGGATTTATTGTATATTGTTGCAAGTTATGGTTCTTTGTTTAGGCATCAAAGGCTTCCTCAATGAATGTTTGCTAGCCAATCTATCGAATTGAATATTTCATTAAGGTTTTGTTACAAGTTAAACATTTCAAAGACAATGAATAGTTAAATTTAGGATGTTGTTGCCTTCATTAGCATTTTCGCGTGATCAAGGCAGAATTGCAGGAGAAAAAGGGAAAAAGAAGCTCTTTGCCTTGACTTTATATAACTTTTTAATATAATCTAAAGCATAATGCAGTTAAGATGGGTATATTATACTAAGTTTTCTTTTATGTGGTAAATCCGAATAAAAGATATGTGTGTGTGTGTGTGTGTGTATATATATATATATATATATGCTTGCATGTGTAAAAAAAAATTAAGCCAAAAAAGGGGCTACAATTGCTCTCAATATGTTGGTACACTTTGTAATGTTGAGTTGTACTTGTTTTGTAGAAGATCTTGTAATTCGAGCAATTTAATAGTAAATTGGATCATCTTCATGTTTGGGTGGCTTATCTTCTTTTGGGGTTTGAACCAAATTATTTATAATATGATATTTATCTTTTTATTGACTGAATGAAATTTGCCGTTAAAAAAGTTCGTTTTCATTACTTTTTTAGTTTTCAATCAAAAAATGATGTTGGTGTACAGTCATTTTAAATGAGTATTTATTAAATCATAATATCAAAATAATATTTGCGTAAGAACACTAATAATAAGTTTGCAAATTAACAGGAGATGAAAACACCACCTTAAACCTCCTTTTAATAAACAGTTCTAGCTAAAACTTTAATCAATCCCCATTTAAATTAGTATCAGTTATCTAGGTCATAAGCTAAATGGCACAAGAGCATGGAAATCCCTTTTACCATTTTCCTTTGTGTATATATGTATATATTGAGTGTCATTTTATCCTCAGTCCAGTTATTGTATATATATGTATATATGGAAATCCCTTAAACATCTCCATTTTTTTCTTGTCACTAAACAGGGCTAGTTGCTCCGAAATCTTACATTTGTCGTACTTTTTCCTATCAATAAGAGAAATGGAGTCCCCCCCCCCACAGGAATACAATAGTTAGTGCATATAAGAAAAGTATTATTGATTCAAATCCATTGTAAAATTAATTTTGAATGGACATTTTCAAAAATATTTGACCATTATTCAGGGTTCAAAGTACTAACATTGTGGCATATTTATGCAAACGCTGATAATCCGTATTCTCAAGAGTCTGCATCTGTTAAAATTGAAGCTGGAATGTAAATATTTGAAAGATCGACTCCTAGAGTGGATGTTTCATCACCTTCTCATCCAAAAGTTTATTCCTCCACTCACCCTTTCAATATGGAATCAACTTGATTATTCCTCAGGCTACGTGATAATGCATGGAATCAACTCCAGAGGTAAGTTTGATTTCATTTTCCAAGGATTTTGATTAATTGAGTTTTTTTCTCCTATCCTTTCTCTTCTATTCTTAATTCACATCACCAAATTTTTTTCTTTTCATTAACCAGGGTGAGTTGCTCAAAACCAATGTAAACTCAATTTTTATTCAAAACCAATGTGCATTAATTGAGTTTTTTCTCCTCTCCTTTCTCTTCTATTTTTAATTCACATCTCCAGTTTTTTTCTTTTCATTATCCAGGGCCAGTTGCTCAAAACCAATGTAAACTCAATTTTGATTCAAAACCAATGTAAACTCAATTTTGATTAGACATACTCAAAAGCATTTGACCATTATTGATATTTTTCTTCATGGTTATCTATTCAAATTTCCAAGATTTATTCGTTTGTAACATCATCATCAATTAGAAGAAAAATAGGATTGGATTTAATTTAAAAATATTTTGCAGCAACATGCAATGCTAATTTCAACATTTTGAATACCCAATTACATCCTTTGATCATCTAAGTTAATTGAAACTCCAAAAACGCAAATAAAGTTCATAAGCTAAACTGTCTATAAATGAAATTAAAGAGATTAGAAATCTTACCTTCATCTCTTTCTCTGAAACAATTTAATTAGAATAATTTTTTGGAGAGAGAAACCGGGTTGGGTGAAACGTGGTTTATTAGTAGAGTTTTTTTGATAATTTTAGAGTTTTTAAAGAAATTGTGATTGGCCCAACCTTAAGTTATTGTTCATTTTATCATTTTCATTGTTCTCCTTTAGTTAAAAGAAGTAGTTGATCCAGATCGATCGGAGTCCTCCTCTCTCTAATGGCGGCCGCCTCCTTTGCTCGCCTCTCCTCTCTCAGCTTCAGCTCCCGAGACGGCATCAAAACGCCCAGAAAACCCAAAGTTTTCAGGCCCATCCGCGCTTCTTCGTCTTCTCCTCCGATCGAGCTCCGATTCGATCCCAAAAAGGTCCCTTTCCGCTAACCCTAGCCTCGTCTGAATACCCATCTTACGATTCTGTTTTATGTTGCATTGATAGGATTACTACTCATCATATTTGGATGGTTCCTATTAAAATTGTTACTCGTGCTTAAAACCTTATTATATTGAAGGAGACGAGAGAATGCAAGGACTTGTAAGAGTTTTGAACATTCTCTAGTGGATGCAAGCCTATAATACATTAGAATTTCGGTGATTATGTGATCTCTTCTTCGTTTGCATGAGTTCAGGTTATTATTTAGTTGCGAAGCCAGAGGATAATTAGCTTATCTGCATGACTTATACATTTGAACCCAAAATCAAAACCTTATAAGAAATAAGAAACAACGAAACATTACTAGAGGAAAGTATGTAATTTCTTTACCTTTGGCCTTTGATGATTTTGGTGTTTAGGTGATTAAACCTTCCTTCCTTCCTCCCTTCTCGCATACATGTTCCATTGCCATACAAACAAAAAGGAATCTACACTGTGAGCAATTGATTATATTGTTATAATGAAGCAAATCTATATGATTTATAATGTTGTAGAGCATTATTTAGCTTTGACTATATCTTTAGTATTTACGAGGCGCTGACAGGAAATGTACCTCAATCGATTTTTTATGTTTAGGTTGAATGCTTACTGGATAGTGTAAAATGGGACGAGAAAGGATTAGCTGTGGCTATTGCTCAGAATGTGGACACTGGAGCTATTTTGATGCAAGGATTTGCAAACAGGGAAGCCCTTGCTGCCACAATTTCATCTCAGAAGGCAACTTTTTATAGTCGTTCACGATCATCATTGTGGACAAAAGGGGAGACTTCAATGAACTTTATAAATGTCAAAGACATTTTTCTCGACTGTGATCGTGATTCGGTGAGTCCTGAAGACTTCAATGAACTTTATAAATGTCAAAGACATTTTTCTCGACTGTGATCGTGATTCGGTGAGTCCTGATAGAGAGTTTCCTTCCGAAACTCTTGCCTCTTGGAAATTTTTATTCTGACATATTAGCTTTAATTCCACTTATTAGATAGTATATCTTGGGAAACCTGATGGGCCCACATGCCATACTGGGGCAGAAACGTGTTACTATTCATCTGTTGCTGATCTTTTGGAAGAACCACAGGTTTGTGAGTCTTGGAAACTCAATATTCATGTATCATGTTGTTTTGTTCCTTTATTCCTTCCTCACTGAATAGCTTTCCATGTGACATACATCAAGAAACATCGCAATTTATATTTAATGGTGAATTTGTTACAGACCAAAAAGGAGCGGCTGGCATCCACAACTCTGTATTCACTATTTATATTTAATGGTGAATTTGTTACAGACCAAAAAGGAGCGGCTGGCATCCACAACTCTGTATTCACTAGAGTCTACAATTTTCCAACGTAAAGCTGAAATCGAGACAACACAAAATGGAAAGCCATCATGGACCAAGAAGTTATTGTCTAATGAACAACTGCTTTGTTCGAAAATACTGTAAGTTTCTCTCTCTCTCTCTCTCTCTCAATATATATGTGTGTGTATGTGTGCCCGCGCATGCGCGCCCGTGTGAGCGTGTGTTCACTCTCTCTCAATACAGCACTGTGGCCTATGGCTATGGGCGTATATGAGCACGCTCTGCATACTTCTATAGTTCTATTGGTATTTGGCTAGCTAATTTTGTCTAAGTTACTGCAAAAAATATGAACCTAATTCAATGCTATTTGGTTCCTGCGAACCTGAATTCCATTATTTCACTTGATGAATACACCCCCTTGAGTGACAAAAACAAATAGTCAGGTTGAGAGATACAAGGACGAAAAACAAATAATGAAGCATATAAATCTGGAGATAAAAGTTCTCTAGTATATGTTCTAACCATTTAGTGTTGAACTTGATTGAAGTAGAAGTCATCTTAAAAATACTCATTGAGAATAGTTAAGGCAATTCTTTTGCATATTATTATGATTAATTAGCCGCATTCTTGCTTATCATATTGTTAAAATAACAGAGCACTTAATGTATTGGAGAATAGTATTGTTGTGGTCTCATGTCTAGTTTGCGATGATTGATTTTAGTTTCCACATGTGTCTTCCGAGTGTTCTGTCAGTACTTGATAGCTTTCCAACCTTTGAGTGGTTGTAATCAAGTCTATAGTTTATTAGGGGTACCAGAATAAAATGACCAAACAACTATGAAGAGTCTAATGTTCTCTCTCAAGGTTGTTTGCTGTTGTATAGTCATGTCCTGTTGTTTGCTGTTGTATAGTCATGTCCTGCACCTGATTTGGCAAGCATTTTTTTGAAATCACTTTGTTGCTAATTCCTTGGCCATGATTGAGTCTTTATAGAAGCATGTTGCTGAACTATGTTGCATTGGTGCGGGTACAGATACGAGTACGGGGTACGGGACATGAAAAATTTGCAAAAGGTAGGTTACGGGAAACGACGACTATATGAATATTTATTGCACATCTATTATATATATTGAAATTTATGTTTACATGAGATGAGATCAATATTTTTTTTCATTCACGTGTTATGAGAATTAAAAATCATATAATATTTTTATGTTTCTTTATTATATGGATTATAAATTGGAAAAACACTCTTTTTTGAACTAGAAACCTAGACAACCATGAAAATCACAGTTTGGAGTCCAACAAGTTTCAAGAAGTGGATGTGAAGTGTAGGAAATATGTCCATGAAACGTTTGACAAGTGTTCTAAATTAAAGCATAAATTGTTTAATTGAGTACATGCCCAAATAAATGTATGCATGTATGCAAGGAGTGCCCAAGCAATTTGGGTATGGGTACATGTATGGCTTCATGATACAAGTACCCAGGTAACATAGTTGCTGAAGGTATTGGTGATACTTTCTTGTTTTATTTTATTCTGGTTAGTTTCTAGTTTCCTGATGCATCTACATTTAGCTGTTCTTTTCCTCTTCTAGTTATCTACCACACCTCCAGTTACCCTATTTCTTTTATAACACTGTTACATAAACTGAAGAAAAGGGGTTATCTCCATTTCTTTATTGACTTGTAAGATAACCTCAAGACCCTCTTACCTCGGTTATTAATCGGGCAACATTTATTTCCTATACATATACACAAAAGTTGATACGTCGTTTGTGTATATGTACATATATTGTGTATATATACATATATTGTGTGGTTTGTGTATATATACATTTTTTGTGTGGTTTGTGTTCATTCACACATGTTTGTATATATGTATGTGCCTAAGCAAACAAGCATGCATGTATGTAAAATCCAGTCAAAATAAATTAAAAGAGTTTGGAGACAAGATTGTATATAGCTCATAAAGGCTTATTGAGTCATTGATTGATATCGGCATTTGGCCAAGACAAGATCTGTAACTTTAGGTCGAATTCAATGTCAAGTAACCACATGATACAGGCATAGAGCATTCTTGATATGATTGAGAATTAAACTACATTCAGAAATTATAAAGTTGCAAATAGCCCATTAGTCTAGGCCTTTTAGGATGCACAAGGCACCTAAAAATTGCCATTGTCATTATTATCGGCATGCCAGTCTTTTCCTGTCAGGACTTAGGTCATCTATGGAGCATAAAGCTTCACAAAACATTTAACAAAACTTCCAAGATCTTGCAACTGGTTTACATTAATAGGTAGGAACTATTTTTTCAAACCAAGAAAGTAAAGAGAGGCCTACCATGAGCCCTGGAAGACTAGATGGTTGGTAGGATTATTATACTCACTAGCTCAAAGCTGGTTTGAATTAAAGGCTACCTTGTGGATTCAAGGTTTTTAGTGCATTCAAGGCTACTAAGTAGTTGAAGGCTGAAGCTGCTATCATTTCTTTGTGCTTCCGACTAATTACTGATGTAGTATTTGCACGTTCGGTTGTGGAACTTCTTGACCTTGAGTTGGGGTTACAAAGACATTCCTTAAGTGGGAAAAGGCATAGATGATGATGATGACTCGTGTGCTAAAAAAACTACATATATCCATACATCCGTTAATCATAACACATTATGTGATCCATCGTGCAGGGATTTTTAGAAGTCTTGTAATTTTAATGATTATTATGAGTACCTGAATTCTGAAAGTATCCAATACCTGCCTTTAAGTATACAAGTGTTTTAACTTTTTTGTTTTTTGTTTTTTGTTTTTTTTTTTGGGGGGGGGGGGGGGAATACCTTCTCCTATCTATGTGTAAATAATGGAATTGAAAAAGATATTATCCCTCCTTTGATTTCTCATAAGGAGGGACAATCATGACGTGATTTTCTTCTTAGGACACAAAATATGGCATTTTGACATATTCAATGAGCCTAATATGAATGTATCTTCATGTTGAGTGTTGATCATGTATTGGTTAGTATGTTAGAAAAGCAATAATGATATTTTCGATATCTTTTTTGATATTTGGAAATGCAAGTTTTGATGACTCTCCATGGCCTCATAAATGGTTACATTTGACGCCACTTTTGGCATTTGATGTATGTGCACAAAGTAGCATGTAGCCAGTGGCTGTGCCAGAAATTTTAGCAAGGGGGTCCAAAAAATTATTAAACATGGTAACATTAATTATTTTTTGCACAATTGATTAGCATCTAACCATCATTACAAAACATTAATTATCTTTTTTGATATTTGGAAATGCAAGTTTTGTTATGAGAAAAAACTTCACGGGAGTTGAACTCCCGTGAAGTTTGGAATTTTTTTTTCAAAAACCGACACAGTTTCAACAAACTGGGTCGGTTTTTGCAATTAAGGCTAAAAGGGGTCGTTTTTTATAAATAAATTTTAAAATGGGATGGTTTTGAAAATTTGTCCAGTTGTCTATTCGTCGTCTTACTAATGCAAGAAAAAAAATAAAACCCCATCTTCAGCTTTGTTTATAGGTTTCATTTCATATGACAGGATAGCCGCTAATCCCTCTAAACAAGTTTATTAGCATTTACACCTTTATAAAATAGCATTTACACCTGAACCGCAGATGATATTATTTCTCCTGTTTGGTTGAGCTTTCATGTGGGAATTACTTGATGATAAATTACCTTTTGCCTCTAGTTTAACCAAGAAGGTTAAATTGTCCTCTAAAGCGTATAAGTGACTTCGACATCATAGTACAACTACTGAAGAATAACTGTGACATATAATAGTGTGACACTATCATGCTAGCGTACTCGCATCCTAATGCTATTATTATCTTTATCAGAGAAGAGGCAGGAGAGCTCGTCCAGACGCTAAAAGAAAATGAGGATAAATCTCGTACCGCTTCAGAGATGGGAGATTTGCTCTACCACTGCTTGGTGCTCCTCGGTCTCAAGGATGTGAAGGTGGAAGAAGTCCTCGAAATCCTTAGAAAGAGATTTTCACAGTCTGGCATCGAAGAAAAGAGGAGCCGACTAACCAAAAACCATTTTCTTTAAGTGAATCTCTCTCTTGTTGCCCCCATCTTTTGTTGCAAAGTTCAAATTGGATTTTCGTTATCACGGGTTTGAAGCTTAATTATGAGCAATCACTGTGGTGATAATTAGATGTTTTAAAAGCTAAGGTCAATGTGAACAAAGAGCATCCAAAAAGTATAAATAAAGAATGTTAAATATTGAAATAACTATGGCTTATAGAATGATAAATATATTATTAATCACTACGAGTTAATTTTAAAAAAGCAATTTATATTGTTGAGAGTGGGATTTGAACCCACGCCCTTTCGGACCAGAACCTTAATCTGGCGCCTTAGACCAACTCGGCCATCTCAACATTGTTCCACCTGTTTTCGCAGACGATTAATGTTATTGAAAATTTAATAAAATTGTTTTACATTAATTAACCTCATTTTGATTTAGATACTTGTCCTGCTATATCGATGTCTTTAATGACAATTTTCTTTTAACCGTATATATTTTTTGTATCAGAACACAAGCTTTAAGTTGTTATTTAGTAAAAAGATTTTTTTTTGTTTTGTATCAGAACAACGAAGGTTCAAATGCATGCCTGATCCGACACAAGATTAACTTATGGTTAAAAGGAAAAAAAAATGTTAGGTGAAACAGATAGTGGTTAGTATTTCAATACGTACATAAGAAATTAATATGCTCAACTTTATAGGAATACGTTGGCATATAAAATTATTATACCCTTAAACCCTCATGACGGTTTCCAAGTTTTGAAACAATAAAAGTGAATATAGAAATATGACATTTCTCATTATGTGGAGGCAAAAAGTGCTGAAGTAGGGAAACTACTTTGGTAAGCAATAAATTCAACCATTGGGTACCATAAAATACGTGGCTGTCGTTTTTCATTAATTTTTAGAAACATTGAAAAAACTAATTTTTGTGACATTACTAAATTGATCTAATGTGAAAGGAAAAATGCTAACTATAGTGCTACCGCTAACAAATGTGTGGTTTCCTTCCTTAAAAATTGTAATAAGAAAATGACGAGTAACGAAGGCCCTACTCTTTTGTTTGTGGTAGTACCAAAGTAGTATGAAAGTTATAGTATAGTTATCATTACTTAATGTCAAACTCTTCGAGAGATCAATGTTTTCATTAAGCCAGCCACCAAAGAAGATCAAATAATAGTTGAGAATCTAGATCCAAACAATGCGTCATTGAAGGCTCAACAATAATGCGTCACACGAATCAATTTAACTCCTCAAGTTATTAATAATTTGCAGAGGATTTTTTTTTTCCCGTTCGATGTCGAATCAAACTAAAGATCCTCAAGGCTTTGTACCTGTTTGTTTTCTTAAATTTCCATCTTCATCGATCCATGCAACCGTTGCTCGTTATGACCAACTGTTGATGTTTTGATCAGATTAATTTAAGAGTGGTGTTAGAGACACACCCTCTACCACACTTCCAACCACACCCCCTCTCCCATTTGCTACAGTACCGCGGACCCCACATGAGATTTTAAAATTTTAAAATCTCATGTGGGGCCCGCAATACTGTAGCAAATGGGAGAGGGGGATGTGATTGGAGGTGTGGTAGAGGGTGTGCTTCTATCATTTCTTTTAATTTAATTGTTGCGTTCCCGGCACAGTACCGTACCTTTCTGGGGCTTCAAGTTTTTATAGCACCTTGTTTTTTTTTTTCCTCCTCAATGTTTTTATTAGAGAATACGTGTGTACGAAGTAGACAAGGGAAAGCCCTTAGTCACGCTAACCCATGTTTCTCACTGGATAAAGTGGCATTAAATTTTAAATAGCACAAAATTCAAGTGAAGTAGGTGAACGGTAAGAAAAACTAAGAGTACAATAAAACTAAATGGAACTAAGTAGGCGAACGCTAGTTCGGGCCGAGTTTCGACCGTAAATTAGATTGGACCAGTTCTGCCCGCGGTTCAAACCGAGCCATGTCATGCCCAACCTTAGTGTATAGATCTTTCAGCTAGCGAAAAAGCTATTGGGCTCACGGTCCAACCGTGAGCCCCCGACTCGCTAAGGGGAACGGGGGTGGTCCCCACAGCAGCTATGGGACCCACAACCCTGTTCCCCTCAGCAAGTTGGGGGCTCTGGACCGCGAGCCGAACAGCAAGGCTCTTCAGCTAAAAAGGTTCACTGTGCAGAAATATTGATTTGAATACTATGATATCAAGAAAATAAAATATCCAAAATGGAGGCGAAACTGCCTTCGATCGCTTACCGTATTTGAAACTTTTACACCCAACATGGAGGAAAAAGCCTCCTTGGATGGTTTCAATGAAATCATAAGATGAACATAAAATTTGCAAAAAAGGCAAAAGGCACGAAAAATATTTTAGAGGCAGGGAATCTTAACCTTCTCTGCATTACTTTTTACATCCAGGCAGAAATCATATGAACAAGCACAATACCTTTTTCCGCTCGTCAGAGTTTGTATGCTACCAAAATCCAAAATTAAGATACATGATGTAAACACTGACTTGAATGATACAAAATCAATGTCTTGCAATACAGATCGTAATTTACGCTAATAATCTGACGACAAGTGCAAAATTATGACCCGTCTGAATCAAGAACCACCTTCGAAACACTTTGGCAGAGCCTTACTATCATTGATCTTCCACTCTCAAGGCTCTCCGCAACGCCCATAATTTCATCTGAGATTTTTGAGGGAACCTTAGGTTCTGCTTCTAAGATCCTGATCTGGAGATCGGACGGCTTGGAGGGATATGTCGCACTGTTAATTCAAATATTAGATCATTTGAGTATACAGGTAGAGTTCTGCTCGTAATCAAAAGAAGCTTATAGCTCACCAGTTCAAGGAGGTTAACTCAAGACTGAGTGTTATCTTCCGGCCACTCTTGAAGCCTAGGAAAGAGAGTTGCAGATCAAGTTGGCCTGCTGGAATGGTGGAGACAGCAAAAAAATGAATTGAAATATACTTGGGACTTTTGCGAATCTACACAAAGATACTGTCTTCTTTTCACATATATGGTAACTAAGACAAAATTTGACCCCCTTTCCAACAAAACCGGAAGATGATTTCAAACTAAGCCTGAAGTTTGAGGCAGGCTCTTCCCGGACTGAGTGAATAGATTTGCTTTGACAAATGACTTTGGACAACGAAGCATTCATACAAATTCCCGATTAGTAGATTTTATACCTATGTTATTTGGTAAAATCTGGCAAGAAATATATGTTCATTTCGCGACCATAGTATCAGCCGTGGCAGCTTCTGATATATATGTCAGTTGGGAATGATCCAGGTTATGATTTTCCAAGTCACGTGCAGATCTAGCAGACTAGTTCGCTTCATATTTTTTGGAAGTGCAATGATGTCATTTATTATAGTGAAAAGAATATCAGCGATCAAGCCCTTGTTGCAGCTGAGCTCTATATGAAACTGCATACTGTAACTACTGGAAGCGAGAGAAGAAAAAGAATAGACAAAAAGTCGACAAAACTTACAGGATCGCAAATGAAAAGTTGAGGATATTAGGTTCCACAATTGCACTCGCGAGACTAGTACTTCCTCAAGCACATCAAGTAGAGTGCCCAAAAGGAGATTTGTTTCCTGTGTATCAGAAAGCTCAGATAAGACTGCAGCTTCCTAAAACATAGCTGGAAGTTAAATAAAAAAGGAAACAGTATCTATCTATCAAGCTTCAAAGTTCAAAATCTATTGAGACTTCACTAAATAATACACTTTCTAAGCTAGAGACCCCTACATTGCCAAGTAAGCATAATAACTATGTTCTCTAAAATTTAAAATCTTGTTCATACTAGCCATTTGTATAAACAGAACTCTACTAATTTTGTCAACTCGATGTTTACATGGCTGAATGTGTGTACAGAAAGGATTAATATATAAATACTGTGCACTAAAAAATCTTAGCTGAAAGTAGAGAATATTAAAGGTTGAAGCACTTTACCAGTATCTCCTGGGAGAGTAGTTTCTGTTTAGCAACTGCGTGGTCCCCCTTGGCTTTCAAAATAAATTCAAAAGCTAAGCATGCATTCATATTCGGGAAATTCTGGATAGGACCAACATATATTAGAAGATATGAATATATCCCCCATTCTACAGTCACATTTATGAACAAAGTAATAAGTTCAAAATTCAATGCAAACTCAACACTGAGTATCTTAACCTTTTCAATGCTGGCATTGTTCAAAAGGTTATTGGCAACTATACTTGAAACTTCTCTGCTATATATTCTGAACCTGTTTACTTCAAGGGCAGAAAATTTTAGTAGGCAACAATAGAGAATTCTGTCAATTTAAAATCTGAGACTAGAAAAAGTTTGCAGAGCGTGGGCACCTTTGAAGGAGTACATTACAATAGTTGAGAACAATGTCATACTGATCATTCTCTTTAACTACGTCACTCAATTTCCACAGCTACCATGGAACAAAGTTGTGTCAGCTACATAACATTTTAAAAACAAAATAATTACGGTAATAATAAAAGGAAATGTCTAGCCAAACCTGCAAATCTTGTTGAATTAACCTACAACAATTTTTCATGTCTATATGGTCATTTACTACTTTAATAATTCCATCACAACTTGGATTCCCTTTTATCTTGCAGGATGATTGAAACCCTTTCATCATGTCCTTCACCTTTTGGTCTAGCATTTCAAGTTCTTGTTTCAGTGATGGCACTCGATCGCACTCCACCTAGTACAAGCAAGCAGAAAGTCCTTAGTCCAAATAGCAATCATAAGTTTCTTGGGAACAATGCCCAAAAGCAAGAACGCATTTAGCACATATAATCAACTAGTTGAAAATTTTAAACTGATGTGCACTATAGGCAGTTGATTTTACAACTAAAATCCAAGTTCCTTTTACCAAGATATGGGTAGTGCGTCGCATCCAAACATATATGCTTGCATGTAAATCTTAGGAAAACAATGAAAAAAGGAATGGGGAAAAGAGTTTACTTTATATGAAGAACATGTAGTTAATCATTAGCTACAGTACTATACCAATGTTTTCCTCTTCTGTTAGAGCAAGAAAAATCCAAAAAAAATTAGGACATTAGTTGGCTTGCTTCTAATGATCCACTGCAAAAGGCTTGGAGAAGTTTCCAAGTTGCGCAGAATCACAAAACAACCTTATCTCCTTTGTTAGGTGAAAAAACTTTTGCTATTAGCGTTCTTCCAACTCCCATGCAACCAAACATGTCCTGAGCTAGCTAAGAACAAATATGCTACATGAACTATTTTCCTACTTGTGTGTGAGTTAACTACAAAAGGTGTCTTTCTAGTTATATTTATGCAAGCTTCAAAATTCACGATTTTTCGTGTGCTATAACCCACTTATTTGGTCATTTTTGGACAAATCACATTTTCTTGTTGATTATAACCCATAATTTGATCTTTGTTGGCCAAACTACTTATTTGTTATCCTGCATAAAAATATTGATGTGAGCTCCCAAATTCTTGATTTCTCATAGACTATAACCTATAATTTTGGTCGTTTTAGACCAAATTACTTCTTGCTTTCGTGCATACGGATACGTATACGACCACCAAATTTTATGATTTCTGGTGAACTATAACCCAAAATTTTGGTCATTTTTGGCCAAATCACTTCTTGTTTTCCTGCATAGAAATATCCATGCCAACTATCAAATTCACGATTTCTCATGGATTATAACCCACAATTTTGATTGTTTTTTGCGAAAACACTTCTTACTTTCTCACACGGGAAATTTTATGCAAGCTATGAAAGTCATGATTTTTCGTGGGCTATATAACTTACAATTTTGGACGTTTTTGGTCAAATCATATATTGCTTTCCTATATAGAAATATTTATGAGAGCTTCAAAAATTCACGATTTCTTGTGAACTAAGCTTCAAGTCTGGTCGCTTTGGCCAAATTACGATTTCTCTTTAATTATAAGCACAAATTTGGGTCATTTTTTGCCAAACCATTTCTTTTTTTTTTCCCGCATAGAGATATTTATGCAAGCTCCCAAATTGACGATTTTTCGTGGACTATATAATCCACAAATTTTGTCGTTATTGGCCAAACCACGATTTCTTATGGACTATAACGCATAATTTTGATCACTTTTTGGCCAATTGCTTCTTGCTTTCGCACAGAGAAATATTTACCAGAGCTTCGAAAATCATGATTCTTGTGGGCTATAAGTCACAATTTAAGTCATTTTCGGCCAAATTATTTCGTGTTTTGTTGCATACAAGTAGTTACGACCTACCATATTTACGATTTCTCATGGACTACCACAACTTCGATTTTTTTTTGCCAAATCACTTCTTGTTTTCGTAAATAGAAATATTTGCTGAACTCCCACAATCATGAACCTCGTGAACTATAATCCATAATCTTAGGCATTTTGACCAAATCATTTCGTGCTTTCTTGCACAGAAATATTGATGTGAGCTCCCTAATTCTTGATTTCTCATGGACTATATAACTCATAATTTTGGACGCTTTCGAACAAAATTATGATTTTTCATAGACTATAACCCACAATTTTATTGTTTTTGCCAAAATTGCTTCTTACTTTCCCATACAGAAATATTCTTGCGAGCTTCAAAATTCACCATTTCTCGTTGACTATAACCCATAACATTTGTTGTTTTTGTCCAAAACACTTTTTGTTTTCTAGCATAGAAATAGACTATATGACCTCTTAAACAAATGATTTCTCGTGGACTATAACTCACAATTTTGAATGTCTTTGGGCAAATCACTTATCGCTTTTCCGCGAAGAAATATTTACGAGCGCTTCAAAAATCAATATTTCTCATGGACTATAAAGTCACAATTTTGATTGTTTTTGGTCAAACAATTTCTTGCTTTCCCTCATAGAAATAGAAGTATTTGAGCAAGCTCCTAGATTCACTATATCTCGTGGACTATAACCCAAAATTTTGATTGTTTTGCCCAAATAACTTCTTGCATTCCACAGAGAAATATTTATGCAATATTTTTATTCATGCTCCAAAATCACAATTTCTCGCGAACTATAACCTACAACGCTTTTAGCCAAATCACTTCTTGCTTTCCCGTGTAAAAATATTTAAGCAGGCTTCAAAAATCACGATTTTTGTGGAATGTATATCACAATTTGGTCATTTTTGCAAATCATTTCTTGCTTCCCCACAGAGAAATATTTATGCGAGCTCCTAAATTCATGAAATTTCGTGGAATATAACTTACTATTTTGGCCATTTATGGCCAAATCACAATTTCTAATGGACTGCAACCCACAATTTTAGTTTGTTTTTTTCATCAAATCATTTCTTTCTTTCCCACATATAAAAATGCATATGAGCTCCAAAATTCACTATTTCTCATGGACTAAAACCTACAATTTTGATCAAAATCACGATTTCTCATGGACTAAAATCCACAACTTTGAACATTTTTGGCCAAACCGCTTCTTACTTTTCCGAGTATAATTATTTATGAGCTTAGAAAACCATGGCTTCTCAAGGATTATAAGTCATAATTTTGGATTTTTTTGCCAAATAACTATTTCTTGTGGATTATATCCCAAAATTTTGGTATTTTCATTTCTTTCTTTCCCGCATAGAAATATTTGTGCGAACTCTCAAATTGACTATTTTTAATTTTGGTTATTTTTGACCAAAACACTTCTTATTTTCAAACAAAAATATTTACTCGAGCATCAAAATTCACGTTTTCTTGTGAGCTATAACCCACAATTTTGGACGTTTTTGGTCAAATTACTTCCTGCTTTCCTTCATAGAAATATTTGTGAGAATTTGAAAATCACAATTTCCTGTGAACTATAAGTCATAATTTTAGTCGTTTTTTTACCAAATCATGATTTCTCATTGATTATAACTTCAAGAATCCTAGTGGACTATAACTCACTATTGGTCGTTTTCGATAAAATCATGATTTCTCGTGGACTATGACCCACAAGGTTATGCATTCTTGGTGAGATCACTTCTTGGTTTCTTGTATAGAAATATTTATGTGAGCTCTCAAAATCATGAATTTTCGTGGATTATAACCTACAATTAGTCATATTTCGCAAAATCACTTCTTGTTTTATCGCATGGATTTATTTATTTATGCAAGCTCCGAGAATGACAATTTCTAGTGGACAATAACCTACAGGTTGGATGTTTATAACTGAATTACTTCTTGCTTTCCCGCATAGAAATATTTAAGCAAGCTTCGAAAATCACAATTTCTTGTAGAATCTTGGTTGTTTTTTGTTAGATCACATTTTTTGGTAGGCTATAACCCATAATATTGGTTATTTTTTTGCCAAATCATCTGCATAGAACAATTTATGCGAGCTTCTAAATTAACAATTTCTCATAAACTGTAGCTTGCAATTTTGGCCGTTTCGGTCAAATCACGATTTCTCATGGACCATAACCCACAATTTATTTGTTTTTAGCCAAATCACTTCTTGCTTTCCGGCATATAAATATTTATGCGAGCTCTCAAATTCACGCATTTTCATGGACTATAACCCATAATTTTGATTGTTTTTGGTCGAATCACTTATTGCTTTCTCTCGTAAAAATATTTTTTGAGCTCCCAAGACCACGATATTTGGTAGACTATACCCACAATTTTGGTTGCTTTTGGGCATATCATTTCTTGCTTTTTAGCGTAGAAATATTTATGAGATCTTTGAAATCACGATTTCTCATGAACTAAATCATAATTTTGGTTGTTCTTGGCCAAATCATTATTTTTCATTGACTTATAACCCTTGGCCTAGTCGTTTTTGGACAAGCCAAAATATGTAAGCTCCAAAATTTATGATTTCTCATGGACTATAACTCAGTTTTGGTAGTTTTTAGCCAAATCACTTCTTGTTATCCCGCATAGAAATATTTATGGTAGCTTCCAAATTCACAATTTCTCGTGGATAATAACTCACTATTTTGGTCATTTTCGACCCAAATTCACAATATCTCATGCACTATTACCCATAATTTTGGTCATTTTTGGCAAATCATTTCTCTTTTTCGCATAGAAATATTTGTGCGAGCTTTGAAATTCACAATTTTCCATGGACTATAATCAATAATTTCCGCCATTTTAGCCAAATCACCTCACTTTCTGGAATCGAAACATTTATGCGAGATTCAAAATTCATGATTTATCGTGGGCTATAACCAATTTATTTGGTCATTTTCGGTCGTTTTTCATAGACTATAACTCAATTTTAGTCGTTTTCTCGCCAAGATCATTTCTTTCTTTCTCGAATAGAAATATTTACGTGAGCTTCCAAATTCACAATTTCTAAAAGACTATTATTAACTCATTTTGGTCCTTTTCAATCAAGTCACGAGTTCTCATGGACTATAACCCACAACTTTGATCATTTTTTGGTGAAATCACTTTTTACTTGCATAGAAATATTCATGCAAGCTCTCAAAATCACGACTTCTCGTGGATAATAACCCACAATTTTGGTCATATTAGGCCAAATCTCTTCTTATTTTCTCACAATTGATATATGTATAAGAGCCACAAAAATCAAGATTTTTCATAGACTATGACCTACAATTTTGGACATTTATCAAATCACTTTTCGCTTTCCTGCATAGAAATATTTAAGCGAGTTTCAAAAATCATGATTTCTCATGGCCTATAACTCTAAATTATAGTTGTTTTTTGCCAAATCATGAGTTTTCATTGACTATAACCC